GAGGTGCACATCAACAACCACACAACACGAAATATTCCACCTTATTCTTGACTCATTCAGTTTTCTTCACTTGAAGAGAAAGATAACGTCAATCAGAAAGACAAAAGTAGGAACAGATACTCGGGACTGTCAACCTAGCCCGGCAGCATCGCAGCCATACCAGCAGAAAGAGTGAGTTTTGCAAACAAAATCCTCGAAAGCCAGCACCTCAACCACTTTGATTACTCAGGCCGCTCTGGCGTTGAGAGATTGGATGCTTATGTGCCACAGTGACGAAGCCACAATCAGCACTGACGAGAAACATCTCGACCCCTCTGCCCTATCCCTTTCCCGCGGCCATACCTCCGAAGGCAGCCCGGACGTTGATGGAAAAGCCCAAGTCGGGATGGCCAGCCGGATCAACACGCAAGAACCTTCCGGCCTGGGATCGCTCGATCGATATCGTCTATCATAAATACCGACGTGGCCAAGCGTTGCCCGACAAAGCCATTGACTTTGAGAATTCGGTCGCATTGTTCTTCGCAGATCATCAGCGAACGCAACAGCAGGAGCCGACTTCTCCATATCTCAGACTTCCCGCAGTCGCACGCTTCCAGATATGTGAACATCTTATTGCCGAACACAAATCGGGCATGCCAATCAGCCTCAACGACGGTCGGTTCGTGAGAGAGGTCTGGACTGACGATGAGTACACTTCGCTCGCTGCCGCCATGGGACCTCTGCAGCCGTACCTCGACGTATCTTTCGCTCTGCGCGCGGATATGCTGGTTACATTTCTTATGGGAGAGCGCTTCCACATCACCCTGTCGCCTTTCGTCGGACCCTATCTGAACCCATTGGCAACACTTTGGTGCGATAAATACGGCCACTTCATGCAACAGGCCATCGTCGAGCTCGATCTGACGCGATTGGGTTTCGGGCCAGGCAAGGAAGCCTGCAAGTTGCGCGCAGGAACTGTCAATATGGACAATCTCATCGGAGCTTTCGTAAGTGGCCAGTTAAGGCGGAAGAACTACTCGACGCTCAAGAGCCTTGTGCTACTCTGCCGGAGATTCTGGGGTGAACGCCCTTCCGACCATCTGCCCCCAGGTTCCAGGCCTGCTGCCGACCAGAATGACCAAGGAACGTCGACAGAGCCGCAGCAAGTGTCTGGATCCAAGCGGTCGAGCTGCGGAGCTGACTTCTCATACTGCCCTGATGAGTTCCTGAGAATCTGCGAGCCATTCGTACGCCTAGATGGCTTGGTCGACTCGATGCGCCTCTCCGGCTTTAGCAACGGCTATACACATTCTCTGCTGCGCCGTATCATTCCCGTTCCTGAGAGAAGCGAGGATGTAAAGCACCATACGTACCGAGTGGCACCTTCTTCAGTATGGCCGCGCATTCCCGGCCAAAAATCGTGGGTCGACAAAGGACACGGTAAATTCCAGCTAGATGATCATTCCCGACAGTACCTGCGCGGCCTCTGTCTTCCAGAGGGAGCAGTCATGCTTACACGACCATACGAGAACCTATCTACTGGACGTATGTCGGTTGGATATGCGTCCAGGAGCATCGAAGAAACCTCAGAGGACGGCGACGTACGTGGACGTCCGGACAGCAGAACGCAACTGATCGGAAGGGCATCTCAAGAATCGGTAGCCATAGATGAGGCGACTCTCGAACACAGAATGCAAGTCTTAGTTCAAAGAATGCGACGGAGCTTGTCGAAGAGAGAGGTTGATGCTGGCTCGCAGGCTTCCGCGACATCTGAATGGGCAATGTCGGGTTGGTCGTCTAGGGAATCAGAAGGGAGCTGGCTGGAGGATGGATCGATATCCAGAGCGACTATTTGAGAGAAGATGTCTATGTGACTGTCGCAAAACGGTGACATTTCGGCGGATAAGAGCGTCCAATCGAAGACTGGGAGGAGAGGAGAAATGAATGCAAACGAGATTTGGCTTAATGTCGTCGCCGAAGCTGGGCGAGAGAAGTTCGATGGAGTTATCACTTTGTGTTTTGACGTCAGTGCAAGGTACCGTTGTACTTTACATAGACGTAGGTACGTATCCGTCCTCTGCTGCGGAAATGTGGAGAGACCAAAAAAAAAAAAAAAAAGATCGAAAAAAAGAACCCCGCGATGCCTGGCTGCCCAGCGGTGCTCTGTTCGTCACTGCTGCCCCACCAACATCTTGAAAGCTTCCTCGTTCAACCCCTCCACGATCGTACACTTACCTCTCTCACAAACCCTGAGCACGGCCAACCCGAAAAGCCCATCAGCATGTCTGCGCAAGTTCCCACCAACTTCAACGCCCAAGAGGCTGACAACCTCGAGGATGTGAGCTCAATCCCCTCCTCTCTTCGTGTCGCGAACGAAATGCGCTGACTCCTTCCTTGCGTCCAGATCGAGAAGCAATTCGCTGTCAAGGGTACGCACGCTGCCACTGCCACATCCGAGCCTATTCAAGATCGCGAGCTAACAACAAGCACCTTTCTGCAGTCGTCCAGCACATGGAAACCTACTGGAAGATCCTCGAGAAGGTCAAGGGCTCCACGCTGCGCCTGACCAAGATTGATGACGAGATCTACGAGCACCTGAAGACCGACTTCCCCGAGTTCGACCCCGCCGCGACCATCAATGAGGATGAGATGAAGAGCAAGGCCGGCAAGGAACGGTGGCGCAAGTTCATGATGGCCTACGAGAAGAAGGTCGACGATTACAACTTTGGCACCATGGTCCGCGCCAGCCCCAAGTTCGAGTACGGCCAGAACGAGGTTATTTTCGGTCAGTGGCCCTTTTCCAACCCTGTTCTGAACCTCGCCAAAAACGTGTTTGGAGATTATGGCCTGCTGATCTGCTAACCTGTACCACAGCGCCCCGTATGCAGTTCTACGCCATCGAGATTGCGAGAAACCGCAACGGTCTGAACGACTGGATCTACGAGAAGGCTCAGGCCGCCAAGTCTAGCTAAAGGAAAGACTTATTCGACGATGAACGTCATCTTGAGAAATGACGCTAACCAGCGATTGACTTGCGATACCACCTGTGTTACGTCATCTCGACCAGAAAGCGCTTCGCCCGAGTTGACAGGCTATGGGCATGAACATCAAGCTACGAATGGTGTCTTGATTTTGGACGTAGGGTCTCATTGAATTGTGATGCCACGGTCTCGACCTCGTGGTCGTATGATGCGTATAGCACTTGAGGTCTAGATATTGCTCTCACTCTACCATCCTCGGATGTGGTTCATGAGAATGCGACATCGTGGGTTTCAATCATGTTGGTAACTTCAGTGTGGTACATACTTGCAACTGAGCAATATGCCAGGCAACTAGAATCGAGATAATCTTACGAGCCCCTTCATGAAAAGACTATATACACGCTGTAGACACTGCTGCTAAAGTTCGTGATAATCTGGAAGACCTGTTCAAGAAGTCCCGCAGAGAACATGCTTAAAGCTACACAAAAGAAGGCAGCGGTATTTCCGCCAGCCATGGGAGGGGTATGCTGCCATTCATAGAGCCGGCAAAGACATAGCTATAGTAGTAGCCATTGGTTCGTGTATATCGAGGTTATTTTATGGCGATTAACTTGGATTCGCCCAAGGTGAGGTTGAGGGACCGCCTTAGAGAAATGGTCCAAGTCTAAGCGGATGTCGATAGGATGGCCATGCCCGTGAGGTGACCCGGAGAACTGCATAGACGATGGATGGTCCGATGTTGGAGAGCTCGCTATCAGTGATGCTGTGCTCCGTAAGCTGCAAGGACCAATAGATCTTGTAACTAGCTGATGTTCGGCGAGCTGGGCCTGGCTCAGCAAGGGTGGTGAATCTTGATGGAGGGAAGGCGAAGCCAGATGCTGGGACAGAAAAACATCATTTAGCTTGACTGTTGTGAAGATTTGATGATCCGAGAGTTGATGGTCACAAGTCCGTTTGACTCAACAATGAAATTTGAAGGCGGAAGCGGCTCAGGGAGGACCTTGTGATCTATCATTTCCTCAGAAGATGGGTGTAAATGCAGATGTTCCATCTACAGCTCATAGAATACACATCACATTGACACGTGACGAGGGAAAGAGAGAGAAAAAAACGAATAGTAGTATTTCTTCTAGATGATATTTAGACGGATGAAATACGAGCGAGTCTAATTCTCCTTCCAGGTGGTTCCTTCTTATAATAAGCCATGGTAGTGGTTGCGTACGTTATGGTTGTATTCAGTTACCTTAATGAAGTAAGTCTGTTGAACATAACACAGACAATTGATGAGGTAGGCCATGGTTGAGATGCCCCACGCAGGGTAAATAGATGCCGTCAAAGTACGTGCAGTAAGCTGCAAGACTGTGATGTGGCTAGCAAATTCTATGCTATGAATCGCCAAATTGTCCATCCATCGTCTGTCTGTCTACCTTAGGCAAGGCATGTTAAGTTGAGGCTCGGCTTGGGAGCTGCGTATTCCCTCTTCTATAATTTGGGTACCTGACTTATTCACTTCGCATCTTGTCAAGTGAAACATCCAAGAGGGAAGGTGCTCTCGAGTTTTGTGCTAGCTTGCGCCTTCTACCTTATCTGAATTACTGCGGGCTTTTCTCCTTTCGCTTTTCGCCTTGCACCCAAACCATACCGCCTTCGCGATATTATTGTCGAGGAAGGAGTGGAATTTGATTCTTTTCTTCACCTCTTCGGCTCCTTCACACAATTTTACCTCTCGAAGGATTGGAATCCCATCCTCCTCCTCACATCTTTACCTTTACCTGTGGCTGGGTTTACGTCACGTCTTCTAGCAACGGAGGCATGCTGCAGAAGATTGGTCGACTGCTTTGAGGGAGAAATATTCTTAGCTTCGTGGCAACACTTTGAGCTGCTTCAGAAGCTGAACCCAGACGCATCGAAGGTTGCATTCACAGCGCCATCAGCTTCACTTTCGCATTGCCTCTGGGCTGCCACTCGCCTTCCCTACGAATAAGGTATACGACGGATGACCCGTCTCAGGCAAGCAGCATTCGCATCTTAACAGCAACCATGGGCCAACTCACTTCCCAGCCCCGTGACGGCGCTTCGCCGTCTCACGATACAGTTCTCAGCCCTTCGCAGGGTACAGACGGCCCCGATCAAGGAATCCCCGTTATCACCCGTATTCGCACCGAGGGCGGTAAGACAGCTACAGGTAAGTCTAAGTTTTTGCCTTCGCCTTAATGTCCAAAGCCCTTCCTTTGGTATTGTTTCTAACGATGCATTATAGTGACCATCACCCTGCAAGAGACAGCGTTGACGTCGGCCTTGGCCTCTACCTTCACTACCTCCTCACTGTTGCCAGTGATGACAACTATGATGACTTCCATGCGGCCTTCGCTAACCACCTCCACGCTCTCGTCTGCCGAACAGAACACGCGACTGCCCAAGTCGACCGGCTCACCTGACCAGGAACCCCATGTCAGTCTTTCCAGGAACACATTGATTATCATCATTTCTGTTGCTGTTGGCAGCGTGCTCTTCTTTCTGTTCCTCATCGGCATGATTCACGCTTACGTGCGCCGAAGACATGCGATCAAGGAAGATGCTAAGAAGGAGGCTGCTGCTGCTGCTGGCATTCAGGAACGTGAGCAGGATCAGTCTTCTCACCGGCATTTCAATGAGAATGCCTACAGCATGGCCATGTCTCAACCAGCGCCACGCGCGCGCTCGGAGCCGGATCTGTACCAGCAACTTCACCCGTCGCACGAGGTAGCCAACACCAGTTTCCATACCCTGCCCGCCGCCTACCCCGCGTACGAGCTACATCCAGCACGGGTTATCGCTGAGCTTCCTGCCGAGCCACATGGCAGCGGTCTTCCGCATTACGGTTATCGAGGATAACCCAGATGGAGGGTTTTGGTTGGGAAAGTTTCGGTAGCTTATCGTGGTAAGCATTGGGCTTAGGTTGGAGAACAGAAGCTCTGGATTCACTTGCATCGTCAAGTTGGAGACATATGATTGGCTGGACGGAGGGTCATGTAAGTAAGTCTCTTCTCCAAACATAATAATGTTTGGTGGTCATGGTGGTTTCGGAGAAGAGCTAGGTACCCGCATGTTGCCGTCCTTCGGCTTTCTTTTTGCGGAATGGAATGCGATTTTGTCTTTCACATCTTTCACGTTTGGATTATCGTATGTAGGAATTTCCATACTTGGAAGGCGTGTTAGGTACGTACAAGGAGAGGAAAGACGGTCACACCGGCAGACGTTGATGGGTCTGGGGCCGCGACACCACGACTCAGGGCTTGACGGGAATTGCACGGTTTTGAGCATCAGGTCGCTGCGGCCCAGTACCCACCCCCTCCCTCTTCAACTCTCGCTCGCAGTAACGTTCCGGCATGGCCCGTACGGGACGACACTGTCATCAAAGTATGGCCGTTACCAATACCGTGGTAATGTAGAGCCAGGGTCGTCGAGCCGGGCACGGGGAGATTGTCGTTGGTTCATGTCTGCTCTTGTTTTGTGGCCGCCTTCCTACGTACATCTCATATGGCAGACTCCGTAAGCAACTGACGGCCGGGTCTGTACATTGACTCTATCCAGTTTGACCGAACCTGGAAGCAGTCTTCATCATGGTGAGGATGGAAAAAGTAGCCGATAACCGATCCATCTTCCTACATGACGCTGCTGGAGACTATGTACTCCGTACTGTCTGGGGTATTTCCCCGGGAATAGAGCGGAAAAGAATATTGATATACTTCATTAGTATGTATGCCACACCCCAGATGGACAGGGAAGCCTGAACGGGGTAAGTCCAAGATCAGACGGGGTGTGCCAGAAAACCGGACAACTTGGCAACGCCATAACGAGATGAGACCAGAAGACAAAATGACGGTTTCCATTTCCAAAAGGGCGGTCCAGCAGCTGACCAGTTGAACCTATCAACGATATGCTCACAGTACTATAGGGAATGCCTTCATTTTCTTCAACTCAAAGTGGAGTCTGCGTCTTGGCCGCATTTGAAAGCTGGGGTTTCTCCAGCATGGCTTGAACGTCGATGAAGCCTTCTCGACAGGCATGAAGACGCTAATCGAGCTAGGCCCGTACAACGCGGCAGTCATGCCCCACGCCCCCTTGAGCCCTCACGAATCATGATTCTGTTGATGATCTGCAGCCGTTTTTGCGCTCGTGCCTGCGGCTGTGCCCCCGATTGTAATGTGATACTTAGTTGGACAGCTCGCTTAGCTTGGGGCATTCAACTCTTGTCCAAGTGACATTTTTTTTTATTTACTTTGAGCTCTGCCTCTTACTCAACCTTCCCTGAGGCGGGCTGTTATGAGGAAAGTCGAATAGACAGCGGGGGTCAGTTTGAGCCTACAACAACCAACAGCGAGGGCATCGCGGCCTTCTTCCCGTTTCTCAGCCAGCCGCTGCCCGAGCCATCGTGCCGTATGGCGTCGCGTCACATCGCATCCAGACTTCCGTCTTCGTTCCGACTCTGACCGCTACCTGCCTTAGCTCCCACTTCTCATCAGGTACCTTGGGGTGAGTAGACTCTCGGCTGACCGGGGGCATAGCCGCTACCGACGTGACTGGGTGGGATCCATCCGCCGTTATTCCCGTTCACATTCCCGACCCTGGGACGGCCCTTCTTAGTCTCATATTGCCGTTTCTCGTGTGGGTGGAGGTTCACTAACACAAATTATTATATCCTGCAGTCCCCTCGTTCTCTCGACGCCGGCTTCGTTGTGAATCACTCACTCACTCACTCACTCACTCACCTCCGCTGCTCCACGCATCTCCATATGGATCGTGTTCCCACCTCGTCGAACATCAAGTTGGAAACGGTCATGGAGCTTGTGCCGATTCACACTCTCTATCTTCAGCCTGCAAATACCTTTTGAGGCTCCAGACATCATCGATATTACCGTCTAACAAAGTAGTTTTCGACTATGACGAACAAAATGCTAGACATCGAAAAGGCGCCTCAGGGTTCTGAGGGAAGCAACACTTCGTCAAGTGCCAACGAGGCTTCTCAACCGCCAAAACCTGACGTCCGTGTCGACGCCAACAGCACAATCATTTTCAGATACTTGGCTTTCGATACAGTCCTGCCTGCGCCGGCCGACATCCCTTTCCAAGCATCGGCCGAGTCGCCGCCAGAACCAGCACCCCCGAACCTGTCACGCTATACCTCACCTCTGCAATGGCCTCAACCCCGGAAATACCTCATGCTAGCCCTGTCGTGCGTCGCCACCTTTCTGACCGCATACACGGCCGGCTCGTATTCACCACCGTCTTACATCATGGCCGATGATCTTGGCACCTCTCAGCTACTCGTCTTGACCGGTATCACGACCTTTTGCATCGGCTTTGCCCTCTCACCGATGGTGCTGGCGCCCCTGTCGGAGATATATGGCCGATATCCAGTGTTTGTCATCTCTGGCGTTGTATATGTCATCTTCCAAGCCGTCTGCTCTGTTGCGCCGAACCTAACGGCAATGCTCATCGCCCGGTTCCTAGTCGGTGTCGGCGGCTCCGTCTTCAGCTCGGTCATTGGAGGCGTCATTGCGGATCTCTGGGCAAAGGAGCAGAGAAACACCCCCATGGCCCTCTTCAGCGGCGCCGTGCTGGCGGGAACGGGAGCTGGCCCTCTGGTGGCTTCACTCATGGTCAAGAGAATGGGATCTCCGGATGGAACGCTAGCATGGAAGTGGATCTTCTGGCACCAAGTCATCGTCGACACTGTTCTTGTCATTGCACTCGCTGTTCTGTTCAAGGAAAGCCGGGGCTCCGTCATTCTATCAAGGAAAGCCGAAGCTCTGAATGCGTGGTATGAGGAAAGGGAGAAGGCAGGATTCTACGGCGTGTGGCTGGAGGATACGACGATTAGTAGCGACGGCACCGACACGGCTTCAGATTCAGGAGGTGATACGCAGGTGTGCTCCTGTTGCGGTCTCGAAAAGACATCTGCGACCTGTCAGTCGAGTCGTCGATATTCTGCCCAGCTCAAACCCCAACGGTTGCGTTGGCTGGTCAAGGAGGACGAAGAGCGGGCATCGATCACCACGCTGATCTCGATGTCGGTGTCCCGGCCATTCCACCTTCTCTTCACAGAGCCCGTGGTCTTCTTCTTCTCGATATGGTGCGCCTTTGCCTGGGCCGTCCTCTACTGCACGTTCGGAAGCATCCCTCTGGCCATGTCACGCAGGCGCAATTGGGACATTGAGCAGTCGGGCTACTTCTTCTCCGCCATGATCGTCGGCTCCGTGGTCGCGACCATCGTCGGTGTCCTCCAGGACAGGCTCCTCCAGCTACCCCAGTGGCGAGCTGATACCCCCATCGATGAACCCTCCCGCTTCTGGCTCTTCATGCGGCGACGTTTCCCCGCCGAGGCGCCCGAGTCGCGCCTGTACTTCACCTGCATCACAGCCACCTTCCTCCCCGCAGGACTCTTCATCTTCGGCTTCACGGCCAAACAGGAGTTCCATTGGATCGCGCCCGCCTTTGGCATCGGGCTCGCGACGTGGGGCATCTACTCGGTGTACCTGGCCACGTTCAACTACTTTGCCGACATTTACCACAAGTACGCGTCCTCGGCGCTCGCTGCGCAATCGTGTTGTCGAAATATACTCGGGGGCGTCTTCCCGCTCGTCACGGGGGCGTTATTTCGGAATCTGGGGGAGGAGCGCGCGGGCTCGCTGCTGGGTGGGATTGCCACGGGCTTGACGTTGATCCCGTGGGCGCTCGTCTTCTTTGGTGAACGGATCCGGGCCAAGAGCCGGTTCGCTATCGTGAGTTTGGATACCCTTGTACTCTTTTGCAGTGTTGCCAGCTAACCCATACAGACTTTGGAGGCCTCATGATAATCAGCCTAAATAGATGGGTGTATTTTGGTTATCTAAATCAAAGGGTTGTTAGTAGTACCTAGTCTTGCTGTATAAAAAGGATACATAATGAAGACCACATAAAGTCATTACATAAATACTCAAAGCACACGAGGCTGATATTTTCTATGCGTTCGTGAAGTTGAAGCAAATCAACTTCGAGAAACGAGGTATGAGCAAATATTTTTGTGATTGAGCAACTGTCTTTCCCTCTTAAAGAGCCCGATATAACTCCTTGAAACGCTCAGCCCATAACACAACGGGAATACCTTCTATCCGTACTATACACTTCAGTCATGAACACCTTTAGAGCCGGCGCAGAAGCCTCTACAGCGCCTCAATAGTTTTCAGCAACACCTCAACACCCCTCTTCTCCAATTCATCGCCGCCCTTGAGCAAAGACGACACGTCGCTCAGTATACCAAGCGGGATGTAGCAACCTGACTTGGCCTTTTCTAAGCTTTCCTTAAGCCTGCTGGTGTGCTCCCATTCTTTGGCTGCAACCTCTGCACGCTCGATGACACGGCTGGAGATACCGCACATGGCGGCACAGTGCATTCCGAAGCTGCCCTCGGCAATTCCGTCTTCGAGCTTGTAGAGGAACGTGACGCGCCTCTCCTCTTCGTCCACGTGAATCTGCATGCGGCGTGGGCGAATCTCGGTATGGTTTTCGAACTCGGTCGCCAGGGAGTGGTAGTGTGTCGCAAAGAAGCCGACACAACCCACGTGTGTAGCAATGTGGTGCAAGACAGCCTGTGCAACTGCAACTCCGTCATAGGAACTGGTACCACGTCCGAGTTCATCCAGAATTACCAGAGAGCGCGGCGTGGCCTCTGCCAGAATCTTCTTCGTCTCAGACAGCTCCACGAAGAACGTTGACTGAGAGGCAAAAATGTTGTCATTAGCACCAAGTCTTGACATGATTCGGTCAACAGGAGTAAGTCGAGCGGATGTAGCCGGAACATGGCATCCAATTTGGGCCATGATAACGGCAATACAGGACTGCTCAGGTTAGCTGAGGTTCTAAGTAGGAGGCTTTGGTATAATATGACGTACCATTCTCAGAACGGTTGATTTGCCCGCAGCATTGGCACCAGTCAATAGGTTGATGTTTGGTGAATCACCGCCGAGTTCAATATCGTTGGGGATGAAATCGGCCACTGCATTCAACATGCATGGATGACGAAGCTCAGAAAATTCGACAACACTGCGTTCCTGGTCGACGAACTCCGGGCGGCAGCTAGGTTCGCCCAGAGAAGACGAGGCCTTGGCGAGACTGATGAGGCAGTCAAGTTGTGAGATGATTCTGATTGACTGCGACCAGGTTTCGTAGTCGGCATCGAAGCGATGGAAGAACCGGGCGGCCACCTCCTTGACGATCTGTGAATGAGTCTCTTCCGCTTCTTGTAACTCCCGAACCAAATCCGTGAGCTCGTCAAAGTAGTATCTTTTGACACTTGCAGTCGCGGACATCTGGCGCCAGTCTCTCGGCACCTTGACGGCCTTGGGTGCCTCGATTTGGTAGACCTCCTTGCCAATATCGGTGAACTTGAGCGTCTTGCACTTCAGCTCAGATTTCTTGCCCATGAGGAGAGTCTGCAGCTCTTCCTTGATGGCTTCGATCCGATCTTGGCTATTGTCAAAATCTTCCTCGATACCACGTTCAGGAATGAGGAGTTTGTCTTCCTTCGCCTTCTTTCGATCAAACGCAGTTTTCCAGTAAGTCAAAGGCTCACTGAGTTTCGGCATGGAAGCCAGCAGGCGTTCAACCAAGCCATTGCCGACACCAACCTCTCCCAACAGCTCCATGGTGTACTCGATCTGTTCGAAGCCTTCGAGCACGCGCACAAAGTCCTCCGGTTTGCAGGAAGCCGCGTGGATTCTGGAGATGAGGCGTTCCAGGTCGGGCATTCTCGTCATTTGGGACGTAAACTTCTCTCGCATACCCCTGTCGGAGTTGAGCATATCTACGGCATCCAAGCGTTCATTAATGCGCTTGATGTCGCAAAGGGGGTGGCACACCCATTGACGAAACAGCCGCTTGCCGAATGGAGTGACGCAGCGGTTCAGAAGTGTGAATAAGGTGCCATCCTGCCCACCGTTCACTGTGTTGGAGAAAATCTCCAGGTTGATCAAGGTCTGGCCGTCGAGGATAAGGGTTCCGTTGCGGCGGATGGGAGTGTACCAATCGAAGCTGCCCTGCGACAGGAGGTCGCCCTCTAGTTTCAGAACCCTCAGGTACTGGACCAAAGCACCCAGGGCAGACATAAGCAAGTCCTTGTCCTTGGATTTGATCAGAGTTTCGGGCCAGACTCCCTCACCGCCATCTTCCTTGGCGAAGTAGTTGCTGTTTTCGAGTTCACGACGAGTGGTCTCCGCGTCCCAGAATTCGCTGCCGGATTTGAGGTAGTTCCAAATAGTCATGGGGGACGTGTTATTCTTAAGGATGCGGAGAGCTTTGGTCGAGATTCGAGACTTCTCCAGAATCAGTTCTCTCGGGCTTGTCTGAGCAACAAACGTCTCGAACTTGGTAAGATCGGTATCATCTTCAAATTCAGTGACGGAGAATTGTCCCGTCGCGCAATCAACGAACGTGATGCCAAAGGCAGGGTTGCCATCCACTGTGGACTCCTTGATGGAGGCGCAGTATGTGGCCAGGTCGTCCTGCAACATGCTTCCATCGACGAGAGTACCACCAGTCAAGATGCAAGCCAGCTCTCGGCGGATGATCTTGTCGGCCTTCTTACTCTTGGCCGAAGTGTCGCCTCTCTCTCGCATTTCTTTCCCAAGCGCAGACTCCATCTGATCAACTCTGGCAACCTTGTAGCCCTTGGCGACGAACTGGTTCACCCACATGTCGAGCGAGCTCTCTGGAACACCGACCATGCGCATATTGACACGATCGGTCAGCTTGAGATCAAAGAGCTGGTGACCAATGGTAGCATCGTTTTCGTAAAGCTCGTAGAACTTGCCCTTCTTGAAGAAAACGACGGTGTCCCACAGCTTCTGCTTGATCTCCCAGTATTGCTTCTCGAAAGGGGAGAAGTTGTTCCAAGCACCGGGCGGGATGTACACCGACGACGGATCGTAGTCAGGGTCACCTCGAGGCTTTTTGTTGATATCTACAATGTTGGCGAGCCAGGGGTAACGGTCCTCCGGCTCTCTGGTATGCGCCTTCTCTTTGGTCTTGAGAGTACGACGAGCTTGTTGGGTGGGAACGGCGCGGGTAGTAGCAGACGCAACATTGTCAGGGTCGTAACGCCACTGCTGAGCGGTCGAAGGAATCGGGACATCCAACATGGCCTCGTCGTCTACTTCTTCGAACTCTTCTTCCTTGACGGGAGACGAAACGTGAGACTTCTTTCGGGACGCTGCCTTGGTTGGTGCGGGGCGTTTCCGCTTCTTGGATTGCGAGCCTTCGTCCGACTCGTCACTAACGACGAAGTCAATCATATCTAGTTTGGTCTGTTAGGCCCTGGTCTGTTGAGCAGTCACAAGACTACCTACCATCATCGTCATCGGGCATGTCATTGCTTGCAGCGTCCTCCTCATAGTCATCGCCATCATCCACAATGGCTGCCGGGGTCCGTGTACGGCGGCGTGTGCCTGCGGTTCGGAGTCGAACGAATGGGTCATCATCCTCATCGTCGGAGGCTTCGGCGTAGTTGACAGGCTTTCTGGACTAGATGGGGCATGTGAGTACAGTGCCTATCGAGCTCAAGGGGGATATCGGTGAAGTACCTTGCGGGTTGGGCTTGAAGACGGTAAAGGTAGCTTGGCAGTGGTCTGTGGAGTCATATGCTCAGCTGAAGTAGATGGTGATGGCAAGGAGTCATCCGCTACCTTGACTGTCGAGACACTCAAGTTCTCCTGGGAGCTTGCGGGCTCAATAGCATCGCTGCTGGGCACGGGAGTCAGGCTGGACGATTTCGGAGCCTGGGGAAGTGTGTTCGTTCGTTTCGACTCTCTCAAGCAAGGAGACGAGTCGGGGGCTTTAGCCGTGGGCTTCGGGGTTGGTGTTGAGCGAGAGACACTGGTGGATTTGGAGAAGAACTGAACAATGGTCTTTTGGGTTCCGGCCGAAGACGACGGCTGGCGCTTGAGGGTTGGCGTCTTGGCCGGCGTACGGGCGGATGAGGAGGATCTCTCTCCCATGATGCCGACTGTTAGTGGTACGTGATTCTGCGGCAGGCCAGCGGAAAGAAGAGGGTGAAATGGGCGAAATAGAACGAGAGTGGTGAAGCTCGTAGGCTTCCAAGGGACAGGCTAACAGGATACGGTTGGTGGTTGGAAAGAGCTTTCAGCAGTAGGCAGATGTGCCGATGTGCTGGGAGAGAGAATCAAGGAATGTCGGTACGGCTCAACGCGAAAGGCGACCCGCGTTGCCTGGTAGTATTGAGCTTGATGGGTGTTGAAACTGATCCCAATCAGGACGGAAGCTGGGGACAAGTGCCGGGATGACGCGCCAGAAGTTAAATAGAGACTCGAGAAAGTCGCGCTCTGAACGCGTCTGGAGTGGCGGGGCCCGCGTTCTACGTTTAATTGAACGACCGGGGGAGGCGGCAGGGATCACTGGTGGGGGTCATCCTGTGCCTGTGTGCCCACAGCCCTACCTTACGTAATATCCTCAGACTGTCTCCTACCACTATTATAACGAACATCGACACCTCATCTCTCAACGATGAGACCGAAAGAGCTTTGTAAACTGTGTAATAACCTAGTTCATATGGCCCCATATGGCCGCCAACCATAATTTTTTTTGCTGCGTATACTATTCCTCCAGCGGGCATGCACCGTTACTTAGATACCTGTCTCGGAAGCAAATGATGTATATGTATGGGTGACAACGGGTTCAGGAGCGAAAGTTCCAAGAGCCTCAGCTAACGCATATGAACCCATTGAACCCGCAGTTTGAAGCTTTAAAGATACTGGAAGGCTCTCTAATGAACACAGATGATGGCTGAGGGACGAGACGGGAAAGTCAGTTGTCTCACACCGCGGAACCCGTGCGGCCACCAACAACGCTCACACCAGACGTCGACCCCGCCTTTCCGATGGGAGGACCATTATCTAATGACAGCTACCCATACCGAATACAAGAAATGAAATCCGGCTCGGAGTCCGACTGACTGGTGTCCCGAGATCTCATGAGGTGAGGCTTGTGCGTATGCATCAAAATAACTTGCCCACTTTATATACATTGCGTAAGGCTAGCCCTTCAGAAGGCTCAGGAACATGTATTGCTCAAAAATAGGGAGGCTAAGAATAGGAAGTATGGACGCAATATCTCTAGCATGGCGTGGCTCGCTAGCCCACAGGGGCTTCCTTCGCTGTTGTTGTTGTTGACCCAGGTCCTTTAAAGATCAAAACGTCATGAGAGCAGATTGAAGGGACCGACTTCTGTGACTGCTAGGATAAACATAGAAACGACCAAATCTTTGTTTACATGGACTGACCAAGCCAGGCTTGTCAGGCTGCTTCTATAACACTTGTCTCGAACCACGCAAACTCGAAGAGACTTGGTGAGTTTTGTGAAGGAACCACAATGTCTGGCGAGCCGCCACATCAAGTGCCATAATGGGGAATGTTCCCGACGTCCTTTGCAAAGCAGAAGTATGAAGTTCTCGAATTACAATTGGCTCTCGTCAACCGGATCCTGGCAATGAAAAACGTAGCGGACATCGTCCCCGAACTCATTACTCAACACTTGTCGTAGCATTGTTCAGCTGCTTCAAATGCACGTTTACCAGATGCGACCTTACGTACATGTTGCAGCCGCAGTCGTTTGGCCCGAGGCTGTCTTCCAGGTTGGGAAATATTCGTCCGAGGTTTTAGCCGCCGGCGATGGCGGGTATTCATCCGGTCCCAACAGAATGAGATCGATGTTAGACAACCATGTCCATGAAGCAGGACCAGAAATCTTCAGATACTCACAGTTCTCGGCAGCAGGAGGCCAGGGTGTGTCAAGCATAGCCTTGGTCAGGCTAGAAATCATGAGATTCCACCATTTGCTCCGACGGTAAGCTGAATCGAGATCAATTAGAATAAAAGGAGAAAAAGTTGAGTGTAATTACCTCCAACGCCCCTGGGGAAACTTGGCTATGCTTTAAGAAGGCTGAACGTGTTTCGGGCAGCTTGGGGAGAATTTATGGCCCCAGCGAGCCAGATGGCAAGGGTCGCCAAACAGGCATTCAGGACCGGGAATTCAATCCCGTTTCCCTCATGGATCCGAGTCTAGACCAACAAAGCCGTTGTTGTGTCATTCTATCACACAGAAGAACTCTTCGTCTACTTTACGGCCGATGCTTAATATTGCGTCGTTCAGTAATCCGTAGTACTGCATGAACTGTCAGGTCACCGGCTATAGGAGTCTGCCCTACGGTAGCTAGGGGCAGTAGAAAGGGGGTCATGGCCGTATTAGGCCAAAGATCTATTGTCAACGTCGGGCCTTCTCATACCCAAGACTTTATTTGAAGGTGTCTCTAAAGAAGGTGTCTCCGGATTGTGCAGAAGAACCCATATCTGTTCCGATATACTGGTCCGGAAGCCACGGAGAGCGCCGGGAGGATCTGCAGCAACCCTGAAGCAGGATATTTTGCCCTTTGGTCGCTGATGATATGCGGGGGGAAGAAAGCCCTTCCTCGAATAGTGTCACTGGAAGTAACCATACTCGCCTGAACCAAGCCCCACGAACTTGCCAATGTTTGTCTCCCCAGCCTAAACACAAGCCATGGGGCGCTCGGCGTCTTCGACAAGCCGATGCCTAGTCACCAATTCAATCTTGGTGGCGCACGACATCCATCGATGAATCAAGAATCGTCAAGTGATGGCGATCAATCCTTAGCCCTCACCTCCACACCGATCTTGGCTGTTTGCTGCCGGTACTAGAAGAGGTTCTGGGAACTATCTTGGCGCCCAGACAGCCTTCCGTCCGACCGATGAACTACACTAGAGCGCAAATGTCAAAGTCTCGAAGAGAGAGCATTCCCCTGGCACGGCCACAGAGGAGCGAAAAGTCCGAGGTCGACGAGCTGTTGGAACAACGTAGCACTCGGTCTGCGGATATGGGCCAAGACTTAGGGTCCCTTGGCCGACATTCCCATGCCGGTCAGGCTAATGACAGGTTGTCTCAGAAGATTGAAGGGTTTATGCTCTCGTCGTTGCGTGCGCGGGCAGTAACTCCTACACTGGCCTTGCCGACGGCTGGTAGCCAGTAGTAGGCCTCGCAATAAGACTCTCGAACTGATGTAGGCGAAGCGCAGCATGCTAAGTAAAGGTCAGGACGTTGGTACGGAAACCTCTCCTTTGAAGAATCGGAGCTTTACCAGAGAGTGCAATGGCACCGGCCGCGCAGGAAAATTAGAGTATCTCGTTCAGAGATTCAGGAAGACATGAGAAAGGGTTCATAGGCGGCGCGGGAACTCAACCCCAGGGATGGGCCGAAAGGAGAGGGGGGTATGGCGAAGTCCAGGGCAGGGAGAACGTTTGTTGGCGCCAAGAAACGCCAAGAAGGATTCCATGTGTTGAGTCTGGGCCGTGGTAGTTGCGGCGACGAGGTTCTTCGCCTAGGTAGGAGAATTCCGTCGTCTTCTCTAGCAGTTACCAATACCACGTCTGTCGACGAGACGACGCGCGCCCAAGCCCTGGAAGTGACCAGGGTACAGATATGCATGTGGGCGTCGTCGACTCTGCTTGGCTGCATCGGATGCAGGAGGAGACGAGAAGAGTCCTTGTCATCCGTCAGCGTTACATTCATGATACTCGATCTCAGCTTCGTCAGCAACCAGGCGGCCGGCAAGATCCTGAGCCTGTCAATATTCTGCCACGGGGTCTATGAGACGAAGTTAGGCACACACACACACACGCAGCATCCAAACTTTGGTGCATAAATGGACGCATGAAGAGGTGTCACCCGCCAATCAAGTGGAGTGGTTTTTCTGAGGAGATAGGCAAGGCAGGAATGGTTTTTTTAGGATCTGCATAAATAGGTTAGTGATTTGGTTGAACCGTTGAGGTCAGTTCAAGGGTGATTAGGCGAATCGTTCGAAGGCCAGGAAGGGTGTGGGTGGTGTGTAGCATCTCAGATGGAAATGGAAGAGAAGGATGCGGGATCGGATGCGGAGGGCAATGCGGTTGGAAATCAGAGCTTGGGGGCCGAGTGTAGCTGAAGGCTGATGGCTGGAAGGATTCAGACAAAACAGCATCTAAAGAAAAAGCAAAGCGAGTGTGTAATTGTCATGGACCAAGAGGATGCCAGCGAAGCGAAGGCTGATGTTGTGGTCCTGGACAAATTGTTCGAGAACCAGTGTGCCTGTCATTCGTTGGTCGGAACGTTCCTGCCTCGACCGCCTTCAGAGAGAGAGAGTAGGTACCGGTATGTACACTTCATCTGTTGGTCGAGGGAAGGGACTGGGGATTCGAGATGGAAGGTCCCTTCCTTACCTTAGTGTACGAAGTACTCCGTACCAATCTTGGGGTAAACCGTAATCTCAGGGAAGGCGACTGGATGAACCCGGCCCCGCCTGTCACGCCGGTTCCACCAGTCCCAGTCCATTGGGCGTGTATCCCTAGCTGTGACCTGAGCTTTGCCCGCTTTTGTACAGTATGTAGGCGGCCAAAATCAACACTCGAAATATAAGTGGACCCGGAGACCCAACGTGCCTAAACTTAAACCTAATCTGGCGGGGCGGGACACGCTGTCAAATCATGGGGTAACCTCCACTCTCCTCAGCAATTTGCAACTGCCAACTGCCAAGGACCAACTGAAGTGCAGCACTGACATTGGCCAAAGGCCGTGCCCACTTCTCACCCACCCACCCACCTACCGCCAACCTCACCTCCTTCTCTCTGTTCAGGGCTAAGGTACACTAGTGTACTTATTGTTCCCTCGCTCGTGGAAGGTCCTTTCCTCGAGGTAACCTTTGCCTAAGGTATCTTGCAGCGAGGTGAGTCATGTGAGCCTTCTCCTCTCTCACTGCTTGCTTGGAGCTTAGTGCGAACCACCAAGTGAGCAGGTTTGGGAAGTTAAGGTATCGCAACCAATTTAGGTTGGCCACTAGGGCCGAGGGAAACTCTTCCAGCCTTTTCTCCCACTTTAGGCTTCTTCTAAGGTATTGATTGTTCTGACGGGACGGGGTGCTAGTGCTGTTGGTTAGTTTGTGTGAGCTTACTGTGCATTAAGGCGGCAATCTAGATTCCAATCAGCCACACGACCTTCTTCGGCTGCTTCAGTGTCCAGCCACAACCTCCCCCTGGCCCTATCTCATTGCCCATGCCTCGTCTCTTGCTTCGCCGAACGCTCTATTCCGTCGACGCCACCTGATTCTCCTGCTTGTCGGCTAAAAGAGACTGTAGAAGAGAAAGCAGGCCCCAAAGTGACAGATGGTCCCTCATGGAGTGCGGTGGTTTCCCCAAAGTCCCCGTTGTTTACCCCGTATTCTCGTCAAAACAAGTGCCTGCTCGTCGGAGTCAGCGGGGAAGATACGCGTGTCAGTTGATTGGATGCCCGGTCATGACCCAATTGCGTGGCGGAGCAGCTAGCGCGTGCCAAGCTGTCGGAAGCTCAATCAACCTCCGGCCTTGCTTCCCCTATCAGCTAGAATGTCCGGGGGTCCTTGTCAGCCCGAACCTTGACCTCCCACATCCATTTCTTCCAGCTGCCAGCTTTCCAACTTGAACTACCTTACCTTATCCCTCAACCTCTCGCAAACAACCTAGAGCTATCATTGGGTCAGTGAGTACACTCCTCTACCTACTCTACTCTGTACGTGGTAAGGCACGGGGGGCGCCACCAACTCACTCACCACCATCTTGGACCACCGAGAATACTGAACCTTGGCGGTGCTTTCCTCACTTCCTTTCTCCCTAGACCACACTCTTGTAATTCCTTCCAAGCCTTTGCTTCCCCTCCATCCCCTCTACGCCAATCTCTCCCTTCTGAAGCCACCGATGAAGGGAATATTCCATTCGACCGGCGCTAATGTTTCTCTTAGCCCTCCCGTACACGTGGCTGCAAGTAAATCCGAGAACTTGTCACCATGTAACCCTCCATCGAGCTACGAATATCGACCATTGTCTCCCACCTGACGGCTTGTGTCACTCAGTCGTGATACTTCTGTCTTTGTGGCTTGAAGGATGAGAGGGAACTCTGTCCGTCTTTGCGGAAAGGCACATGGCAGTATGGCAAGTGTCTTCTTGGCTGTCGTATGCCGCGCCCATACCACGGAAAAGGGAGTATTGGCAGTTCCTTCTCCGGGAAGAAGCATTCAAATCCTCTGATCGTCCCCTGACATGTAAGCGGAACGGACAGCGAATGCATATGGCGAGCTGCCAGAGACCGAGAGACACGAAAAGAGAGGAGAGCACTCCTAGGAACACGTCAGCCGCTTACTGTGTCACTCAGGCGTTGGCTGGCGAGAATGGGATTCGGAAGCCCGCATCTTCATTGCGTTGTGACCGCAATCTGGCCTGTGGGATCTTCTGTGTTGACGGATCGGAAGAGTCTTTCTATTTTCCACTCGGAGCCCAAGCTCAATTGGAGACTATCCATAACGATATCGCGCGGGGACGACGGCCCGGCTGGCAGTGTTGTGCCCCGACTAGGACCCGGAAGGACCCAGGACAATGGACAGAATTTGAGAACTGTTTGATCCGTCCGCGACATGGCTAGAACGGTACGGATGTCGACCATGGGCCCTGACATGCATGCACAAGCCGTGCTACGCACGCACTCGCGGGCCTAGGTAGGCGGGGGCTAGCTGATGGGCGTCTACCAACACAGAGTAAGGTAGTAATTTGTCAACGACGGCACGGGTACGGACTAAGGTACGGAGTAATATGCATTGGCTTGTTCCACTACTGTCTGCAAAGCACTTTGGTACAGACACGGAAGCGTTGGGTTTATTTGGTCTAGACGGTTCATTCGCAGAGAAAGACTCACGAGCAAGAGGAGAGACACCTAAGGCTGATATCCACTCACCCGGAGTCGCTACCTTAGCTACGTTTGGTGGCTGAGGTTGGGGTCCCCAGCTTAGCCTTCTTGGCAAAGACGCAACCACAGGGGGAAGAAAAGTCACGAAGTTGAGGACAGGCGGGGAGACTGAAACTGGCATGCGGGGGAGGCAAGTGCCCCCCGGGTTGGTCCCTCCTCCGGGAGTGGGAGAATGGGGACGTGGAATGAAAGAAGGCAGATTGACAAGGATGGGTAATGACAGGAGAAAGTTGACAGCGATAGTATGAAGTGAGTATCTTCATCCGTAAAGTGTGTGTGAGTATCTGAAATTTGGATAGATTGCTTCGGTTCGGAGTAAGTGTAAGGATAGGGGTGCCTCGGCTTGATTTCGCATCTGTCTCATTTGCATCGTCTGCACCAACGCGAGAAAGGTGTCGGATGGGCGTGCAGATGGAATGCAGTGGCGGACAGATCCAAAACGGGACAAGCTGACAGGATCCGGATCCTTAGAGGCGGCAGAGTTGCAACTGCGACGGCAGCGATGCTTTCTTTACTTCTGCATCCAAGGAGATGGGTGCGCGACCTGAGAGAGATACGTTCAGAAGTAAAGTACCTGTACTTCTATCGTGAGTCGTGCGGCCTCCCGTTGGACTGGGCGTTCGAGGGTGTAGGCCAGGTACCTTGATGTACCCTAGCACCAGGATTGGACAGACCGAGACCATCCCTGTCATGGAGAGTATGGGATGTATCTATGTCTCTCTATCTGAGGTACTCGTGTACTTTTGCCTGCTCGCTCTCTCTTTTTCCACAAGACACAAACGCCATGGATATCACACCCGCTCGTCGCCAAGACCCTAAATCTCTGGGGTTTGGATTCGACTGCCCAGTTGTAGTACCTCCCTAGCTAAGCCAAGGTAAGCACATTGGGGTAGGTAAAGTCTTGAATTTTCTCAATGGAAGGGGATGGGGATGGGTAGGTTCCCGAGTTGGTGAGATTGGTTTAAAGAGGGGAGTCGCTCCCGGGGTTTCTCATCAACTTCGTCTTGCCTCTTGCTTTTTGCTTATACCTGGCTCCTGCCTCTCTTGCTCTTGCTCTTGCACCTGCTACCCCTCGTCCTGAGAGAGAAGCACCTGCACCTGCACCTGCGACTGGTTGCTCTTGCCCTGACTTCAATTCCCGTTTCCGAACCTCATCCTTCTCGCCATTTCATCCCGTTTGGTGTGGTGCAGAGGAATAAAGTTCCCGTGGCGAACCTACAGTCTCACAGCAGAAACACCGTGGAACCCATCTCGAGCTTCAGCCTCAGATAGTTTCTCCCTCGCCAACGCCACGTGCGATCTACATATTCGACCGCTTACTCTAAGTTACACGGCTCTAAGTTACACGGCTTCAGCTCTATTCTCGTTTCCTCCGAGGGTGCATTTCCACCGGAATTAGCTTCCGACAAAGGTCTTACTGAGAGTTACACCCACAGCTCTTACTATCATCCGAGACACTCATCGACTTTTTGGGCCGTCAGCTGCTTAGTCTCAACACCACCAATCTGAGCCAACTCGTCTCATTCCTCTGAACATCACAAGGTGGTTTCCAGAGAATTTGGGTTATAAGTCACTCTTCGACCGGAGTCTCATCCGTCCCATTGACTTTCGCTCTTCCGACTCCTCCCCCTTCCCCGACTTGATCGCCAATCGCCAACCGCCAACATGTCGACTTCCGAAAAGGATATCAAGAACGGCGCTGCCGTCGACCCCTCAATCGAGGTTGAGTACGCCAGCGACCCCGACAGAGCCGGCTTCGACCAGGCTGCTACCAAAAGACTTCTACGCAAGATCGACTGGACTCTGATTCCTTTCCTTGCCTTGCTATACCTGCTGTCCTTCCTGGACCGCACCAACATTGGCAATGCTCGTCTCGCAGGTCTCGAGAAGGACCTGGGCATGCAGGGCCTCGACTACAACGTCGCTCTCTCAGTCTTCTTCCCCTGGTATGTCGCTGCCGAGATTCCCTCCAATTTGGCCATGAAGCGCTTCCGCCCTTCAATCTGGATCCCCTGCATCATGGTCGCCTGGGGTATTTGCTGTACCCTCATGGGCCTCGTTCATAACTACGCCGGACTCTTGGCTGCTCGCATGGCTCTTGGTCTTGCTGAGGGTGGTCTCTTCCCCGGTATCACCTACTAGTGAGTGTCCCCCGTCTCGGGCGAACTGGTTTCCCCAGGAATCTAACCCCTCTATTTCCAGCATTACCATGTGGTACCGACGTCATGAGTGCGGTCTTCGCATGGCCATCTTTTTCTCTGCCGCTACAGCTGCTGGTGCCTTCGGAGGCCTTCTCGCCAGAGGTATTGTTGAGATGAGAGGTATCGGAGGTAGACCTGGCTGGGCTTGGATTTTTATCCTTGAGGGTATTCTCACTCTCGCTGTCGGTAAGTGAAGATTCCATGGCCTCATGTGAAATCACTGGCTCGATACTAACGTAGCCTCCCCCCGAACAGCCATCGCCGCCTTCTTCGTCATGAACGACTATCCTGCCACTGCCAAGTTCCTCACTGTTGCTGAGAAGGAAGAGGTCACTCGTCGTCTTGAGCAGGACCGATCTGCTCTTGCTGACGAGTTCAGCATGGTTTACTTTAAAGATGCCATGAAGGATTGGAAGATCTGGGTCCACATGGTGAGTTGCGGTGCCCAAACAGTCCTTCTCTACATGCGCAGACATACTGACAAACATCTCTAGCTCATCACCATCGGAATTTACACCCCACTCTACTCCTATTCTCTCTTCCTCCCCACCATTGTCAGTGGTCTCGGCTACACCAATGAGACGGCTCAGCTGATGACCGTACCCCCGTATATCGTGGCCTGCGTGTGCTGCATCAGTGGTGGTTGGTTGGCCGATCGCCACAAGCAGCGTGGTATCTACATGATCTTCTTCTGCCTCATCGCGTATGTGTCCCGCTTCAATCCCTCAAGTACGAATGCAAACTAATATGGTCACAGAATGACCGGCTTTATTATGCTTCTTTCCTCCCAGAGCAACGGAGTGAAGTACGCAGGCTGCTTCTTCGCTGCCTCCGGTATCTACCCCAACGTTCCTCAGGGTGTCGCTTGGAACGGCAACAACATCGGAGGCTCCGTCAAGCGAGGTGTTGGTATTGCCATGCACGTCGGTAAGTCTCGGCCGCTATCCACACTCTTCAATAAAGTGAAGATTGCTAATAAGGCGCAGGCTTCGGTAACCTTGGTGGTGCTATTGCTGGCTTCCTGTACCAGGCCAAGGACAAGCCTCACTACTACCCTGGCCACGGCACACTCCTGTCAACATTGACCATGTCGATGATTCTCTCCACCTTCATGACGATCTACCTCCGTCGCGAGAACGCCCGCCGAGACCGCGAGTACAAGGATCCTTCCCAATACACTGCTGAGGAGAAGGCTGCCGAGCGCCACAAGGGTGACAACGCCACCTTCTTCCGCTACACGGTTTGAGGGGGCCGTGAGTCTGTTATTTAGATGCAATGTTTTTAGCACAGTAAATCGCTGTTCATGTCTGTATAATGCAGCACATACGCGGATGATGCATATGCTATAGAGAAAGCATGGGAGCTTTCGAGGGTATAGATACAATTTATTCGAGGTCCCCTTAGAGCTGGTTAACAAAATAGAGGCACATCTACGGCAAAATCATTCACTGTGATTGGGTACATTTGAAAATGTGAAATGCGAGTATAGTGTTGATTGAGTTGTCAGAAAGATGAAGCTGAACGAATAACGATGCTATGATCAATGCTCAATCGGACCTCTGCCGGGAATTCGATGATACCTGCGTCTTCATGACGAACCACTTACAGGATAGCTCTCTCAAAAGCAAGATGATACTCAAGACCCCAGAATCGCTTTCAAATCTGCCTCTAGTAGACTGACAGCTTCCCCTCTTCCCTCTTATGGCAAAGCCTTGGCCTTGGTCTCGAAGAAGGGGGCGGAGTCTGCCAATACCCTTGGCCTCAACATCCTTTCCCCCGAGACTTGGGGAGGTTGGGGGGAAACTTGGGGAAAACCTGGGGTTAAGAAGTCGACTAAATGAGGAGATATCGATGCCAAGATTTGACTTAAACGGGAACAGGGTAACAAGGGGTAAGCTTGCGTTTGAGGCAGTGGATCTGTGATTGTCTGCGAGATCGGGCAAACTTGATGTTTGACAGGCTGTTGGACATTCCCCCCCCCCCCCCCTTCACCCCCGATTCCCCGTGTGACGGGTTCATACTACATGGTACTAGTACTATACTACTGGAGCCTGGAACTTGCCGATTGAAGCACGTCATGCAAATTTGAGTTTGACAAGCTGGACTGTGGGACGAACCGCTGCCTTTCCGTTTCTCCGGCCGTGGGGGCGACTCGTGGAGAGGACGAGGCCTCCAGGTCTCATTCAAACTTACTTGAGAGTTAAAAAGCTGTTCTTGTGATATCATGAAACTGTAGATATTGAGACACTCGAGATACTTAGTTCCATTCTCCAAAGCCTGCCGCAGGTTCTTGGGCGGTTCTGCACGGGCGTTCTACTAGGCCTGGTGTATTGCCAGGTTTTCCTCCACGTTGGTACAACTTGTTCGACTTGGGACACACGCATGTTACAACGATACTTCACCTAAAGACCGGAATGAGTATACGATGTACCTGAGACACGATGGATGAATACAGCAATGCGACTAGATCAAGGATCATTGTTGTCCGACTATCTTAGTAATGTTCTCATCGTCGTAGCCGGCGCTGGATAAGCCAAACTGGTCTCTTCTTGGTCTTTCTGTTCAGATAGCTATAACAACTCAGGTTTGTCGTGTGTGTTCACATCGCCGACAGAGACAGCTTCCACCTTGGCTTCGGCCTGGATCTTGGTACTTTGGTGAAACCACTTCCTCTCCAACCAGTTGCTGACATGCTGAACAGTTTCAGTTCTCTGACATCTAGACAATTAGTGTCGCAGCCTTTGTATCTGTCTTATCTACATTTCAGCATAGTGTTTGGATCTTTGACTTCTCTGGGCCATCTAGATATTGAACAGCAGAGCAGGAGAGACTGTGGCCAAGTTCCCAGCAAGGAGGGTGGCTTTCTTTGGTGCTGCCAAAGTACGAAAAGCTTCCGTAGGCTACATAAACAGTACGGGGAGTCGAAGGATCTTAATATCTAACGACTCCGTGTGCAACATTCATTCTGGGTCTTGTGGATGACGAAGATTGACACATCACGGGATGTCTTTGCTATGGAGTTTCATGATCCATAGGACACAGGCTTATATCAAGTATTTTAAGGACCTAGAACGCCGAACGGCGCCTTGGAAAGAATTTACGTCAATTGGAAGAAGCCGCAACATATGAGGTCGGACTGTTCCAGGACAGAGAGAGGTCGGAGGACGGTGTCGGTAGGTGGGGCCGTCACGGCCGACGGACGGATATGCCGGAGGTCTGTCCCATGTACCTTACTAGAGCGTCTAGTGACTACCAGCTACCGGCGCCAGCCAAACATTAAGTCACTTGAGTAAGTACGACACTGAAGTGGTCCTTCGGCCTCTGCACGCATTACTGATTCGAAAGACGACTCAAGCGACGGCTAACATGAATCCTATGCAAATTTCAACCATCGTCCTGGCTTTGGCTTCAACAGATCAGTGTCAATAGCATGTGATAAAAAAGTTCAAGCAAAAGGAGTTCACCACCGGTGTGGCTACATCTCTTGGCGATATTATGGTGCTCATGCTGAGATTGTATGCGAATTCGAACTCGGAGCCTGTCGAGGTAGACTGTAGGGTGATAATTGACTGTTGACCTTTTAACCATTCCACCATCCAGCCAAGCTTGACCTGAACCGCCGACCTAGACGGACTCCTGCTTGCTGGTGACGGGAATGGAGTTGAGCAGGGTGATATACCCTTTTCGTGTATTCGGATGAAAGATGCAGCGTCGCGTGTGGAAGTTACGCCTATCACAGCCAGGAAAAAGGGGAAAGGAGCTGAGTGCATTGAATCCATGACAAGCTGCTTCTATTGAAGCTAATGATTGTGGTTTCAGCGACGGAAGTCTTTGGAAGTTGCCTCCGAGAGATGCACGGTATAGTAGTAAATGGTGACAGGCAGGAATGAACGCTCGAGACCCCAATGGGTTCGAATCTCTATATTGATACGACACTGTGGCTTCTGCTTAGGCTTGTTCTCTTGCACTAAGTGGCTATGCACCCAAACTTTTGCAAACAGCCTGAAGGGTCACTTATATGCTCATTTGCTAAGTATGTACCTAATTACCCGGTGCTAGCGGACGCATCGCCACCGTATAAAGCGACCTTCAATCTCTTTAAGGCCTCTGACCGCTACATTAATTGAGAGATCAACTAATTGTATTGTATGTGGCAAGTCTCTGCCGGGTGGTATCTGCCGGGTGGCCGATGCATGAAGAGGTGTTGGGACTGGCTATAAAAAGGGCCTCTCGCAAGATACATGCCATCTAACAGGCTTGGTCACAGCGGCACAAATTTCCTCACTGGTAGTTGTCCGATAAAACTCATATTCCTTAAGCTTGGCAATTCATTAAAAGCCACCATGCTCCGATCCGCCGCCCTTCTCTTGGCCATAATCGGCTCCGCAGCCGCTCTCCGCATCAAAAGCGTCACCCACAGCGGACCGGCCTGTCCCCAGAGCGACAGGCTGACTTGGTCCGGCGGCCTGGACGACCTGACCATCGCCCTCCCCGACTTCAGCGAGACTCTAGCCACGGGACAGATGACGAGCTGCCAGGTGCATCTGCTCATCGACGAAGGCGAGTCCGGCAAGGCTTTGCTCCTGCAGGATGCTACGCTCAGCGGGGGTCTTCACCTGAGTTCCAATACAAAGGTCGACTTCTACACGACAGCGTATTGGTCTGAGACTGCCTCTGATACTGTGAGTTTATTGTACATGCTTATTGGGTGCCGGACAGAAAAAAAATTTGCTGACCTGGTTGAAAAAAGGTTACCAAGTCTACGAGCACGGCGTCTGGCTCCACGGCTGTCTTCCGGAATGTGGACGTGGCTCAGCGTGTGAACTCGGCTTCTCCTTGTACTGGTGGCGATGGCTACGTCGGGATACTGAACGTGACTTTCCGCATCATCTCCCAAGGCGGGGGTTTGGTTGTCTTTGGCAAGGAACGCAAGGATGGTGCTACTTCTCCCGTCACGGAGTCCCTCGTTTTCAAATGGCAGAGCTGTTAGATGTAGTTGAGTATAGAGGGCGACGATAGCGAAAAATGTCGGTGAGATTGAAGGGTTAGTGTTGCAAAAAGGTCCGTCATTGGCCTCTCTTACAATAAAGATAGCAGTAAATACAAGTTCACTACTGCATGGGGCAAGAAGGCATGTGTCAGTTGCCAAGTGCTTCGTCGGTTATCTAACGAGTCTTGTTGTACAGCACATTACATTGCTACGTAGAAGACATAATCAGCAATCATAGACTTATTTCCAGTCTCTGTTACCGCTGTTGACGCTATCCTAAGAACCGACCTTCCGTAGAACAGCATGACGTGAAGTTCCCGTCTGATCACAATTTCCCACCATTCGAAACGCCAGTACGCCTTGAACCGTCGCCGTGAAAAGGCACTACCACATATGACAGATAGCCCTGTTCCAAGAGCTGTCGTTGCCAATGCTATGTAAGCCGCCAAGAACGGTCGATTCTCAATGGCAAATCGTCGTCACGTATCCACCCAAAAAAAAACCGGGATGTGGGCGAATGCCATTACGTCTGCCCACGACGCATCCCGCGGGGACGCAGTCGGCGTCGCCGAACGGATCGTCGAAGGGGAAAAAAGCATAAAAATAAAAAATCAGCTTCGTCGGTACAACGCGTCGCGCGTCTGTTGGATATCGTTCGTTACGGTCATAATTCGTAGCAGAGCTCGCGGGATGCCTCAACTTTGACCACCAAAAACCCGTGAAGGTTGGGTCTATCGGCCATGCAATCCCAACCTCTGAGAATAGAGGAAGCCCGAGGAAAAACCTCCTACCCCTGATCATTGCCTCATCTCGTGGGCAAGAAGTTCTTGGAGTCACTCTCCTGTTCGGAAAACGATTGAGGGAAGGCGGCGAGACCTGCGACAATGGCGACGGCCATGAAGGCGACGCTGATGAAGGACCAAATGAGACCCCAGCAGCGAGAGGATCCGCCGTAGCGTTGAGCAAAGACGCTCGCGTCGGAGCTGTTGACCTTGCGCATGATGAGATCGTCGCAGATATCCCACACGGAGTAGAGTGAGCTCATGACTCCAATGAAGAGCTACCAATTTGTTAGAATCTCACTGATTTCTCACTATGCATAAAGAAAAAAAAAAAAGATGAGATGGCAGGCTTGACTTACAACAACGAATCTAAGAGCTTGAGCGTGAGAGATGAACCACGCCGCGACCAGCAGACCGACAGCGAGAAGAACAGTGAGAATCGTGAGCCAGTCCCGCTTTCCCCACCAAAGAGTCAACAAGAAACATACGCCAAGAACCATGGAGGCAATCTTGGACGCGTTGATGTTGAAGCCGCAAAAGATGAGCAGCCCGCCGATGAGCGATGAACCGAGATAGCCAGCGGGGAGGGTGATGGCCTGCTTGCCGCCCTTCATGAGTGTGGCACCGCCCTCGTTGGGGTCGAGGGTGATGGAAAGGACCTTGCCGCCGGTACAGCAAGCGGTGATGGCGTGGCCGAATTCGTGAAAGGCGATGACGAGCATCTTGAAGGGCCAGAGGACCTGGCGCAAAAAGGGAACGTTCCAGAGGATGGCGATAATGACGGCGTAGGCGCCGATGACGCCCAGGGTGACGGCCTGAGTGTGGTTGACGGTGAGATCGCGGCGGGCGAGGGCGTGCTTGGTCGTTGCGCGGGCGACTTCGGGGAGGACGACGACGGCGGCTCTCTTCCAGACTTGGTTTGCGATGGCACCGGCGTGAGCGAGGCTCTGCCTGGCCGTTGTTGGAGGGACGGGGGCCATGGTGAAGTTGTGGTTTGTTGGGGTTTGTATCAATAGCGACAGACTGGGTGTGGTGATTTAGTGAGAGCGAGTGAGTAAACTCAAGAAAAGGATAGAAAGAGGCTATCCTGTTAGAAGCGAGAGTTTCCTTTATGTATAATCACAGGGAATTCGTACTTGGCAATCCGATCATACGAAATGCCTGTGTATTACGACAGATACGTAAACAAGCCGGTGCAAGTTGCAGGGCTTACGTGGAGGTGGTGGGCTGGGCTGAGGCTGGGCCGCATTCCCCCTGTTTCTCCTCTTTTTTCTTGTCTCCTTCCCAGGCTTGTCAGGTTTGTTCAGGTCACAGGTGGTGGGTGGTCTTTCTTGTGGTCGGCCTCTCATCTGAACTCCAGTAATTCCCCAAGCACGGACAGACAAGCTTGGCTGGGGGACGCGCCTTGGATGGCCTGGGATCTGAACCAACTTTGAAAGGCCCTGCTGTGCCTGACTGCTGCTGGTGCTGGCAGATGAAAAGGGGTCCACCCGGCCCCACCCCGGGACCCGGCACTGATGCTGAGCATTGGCACTGCCACACTGCGACATGTGCCGCTGTTGTCGTGGCAGTGGTCGCGGTCAAGGTGGCTGGGCAGAGCCAGTCCTGCTATTTTTGGACTATGTGGCTATATATCACGTGATTTGACGAAAACCAATAGATGTGGCTGGTGTATGTGGCTGGTGTCAATCCAACCAACAATATTATTACATAAGGCAATAGTAACCGCAAGGTTCGATGTTCATGCGGGTGGACGTTTTGGCTTTCACGTTTCACCCAACGAAAACATGACGTCTCTCGCAGAGTCACAGTAACGGTGCTGGTGCGGTGCAACTCCAGCGCCGGCGGCTCAACATTGTCTGCGCAAGGTAACTTAGGTCGCTGGAGGTGCTGACTGTTTCCTGCCTCGGCCTCCGAATACGAGCACCCTACCTTATTTCCCATACCTTACCTTAGTAGTAGCTGCACGCGGGGTTTCCCAACCATCTTGTCTCGGAGAAGAATGTGTGGCCTATTCCTCTGTTCCTAATACCTCAATGCTCCTACTGGCTTAGAAGCTCCCGCCGTCTGATTGATACCAAGCTCCCGGAGCCACCAAATCAGCTATCCATTTCTGGTCAATTCCGACTGCCAATCCATCTCTTTTGAAAATCAATCAAAGTTACACCAGTCCTCAATTATATTGTGATTGACTTCGTTTTTTTTTACTTGCTTTGCATCTACTTAGTCCTGCATCGACGACAATATGGCTGCTGCAGTGGACACCTCCAACACGGAGCTCAGCAAGCAGTATGACACCCCTATGGGCCTGGCTCACTCGACCATGCAGGCTCTCAAGGACAGAATCAAGCTTCACTATGACCTCGCGAGTGACTACTACTTGAGTCTTTGGTAAGCCATCACTGGTCCTGTCTCTCTCTCATCCGCCGTGCGCGCGCTTTGTGACGTGCAATTGAGGCACAGCGCCCTTTCACCCTCTTGATAGACTGTATCCAGTCTGTGCCCTCATCTGTCCCTCTATTGAGCTCAGTATAATATGGACCATCTTGCGTCTAAAGCTGACTTTGCCCCCCGTGCCGCAGGGGTGAACACATCCACCACGGCTACTGGGAAGACGGCTCCGAAACAAAGGAACAGGCCCAGGTAAAGCTCATCCAGCTCCTCCTCCAGCTCTCCGGCGTCGGCGAGAACAGCAACGTCCTCGACGTCGGCTGCGGCATTGGCGGCACCTCGCGCTACCTCGCCTCGACCCTCGGCTGTTCCGTCACGGGCATCACCATCTCCACCAAACAGGTCGAGATCGCCAACAGGCTCACAAAGGCCGAGGCGGAAAAGCAGGCATCTTCTGCTGCTGCTGCTGCTGCTGCGCCTGCGTCAGAAACATCCGACAAGGCAAAAGAAATTAAAGCCGACGCCGATGGCTTCGTCCCGCTCGGCCGCGGCAGGATCCGCTTCATCGAGCTCGACGCCGAAAAGATGGGTGATTTTTTCGCTGGACAGAGCGCTTCTTTCGACGCCGTGTGGATCAGCGAGGCGCTGAGCCATTTCCCCAACAAGGCGCTCTTCTTTGAGAACGCGTTCAAGGTTCTCAAGCCCGGCGGGAAGCTGGCCTTGGCGGATTGGTTCAAGGCTGAGAATGTCACCGAGACGGAGTTTGCGAATGATCTCAAGCCAATTGAAGGTATGTTGGCCAGTTTGTTGTCCCTTTCCAGGGCCCATCTCGTATCTTACCCTTAGCGGGGCAGGGGGGGGGGGGGAAGAGACTGAATATTGACTGGCTTCATTATCAGACGGCATGCTTCTCCCGCCGCTTTGCACTCAGCAGGGCTACGTCGATTTCGCAAAGGGCGCCGGGCTTTCATTGCTCGCGGGCCCAAAGGATATCAGCAAGGAAGTGAGCAGGACTTGGTAAGTTGGGTCATGCGATGTCAAACCATCAGACGTGACCGCGAGTAACACTTGTTCTAGGGACATTACATGGACTCTCGTCCAAAACCCTTCTCTGTGGGCCTTTGCCTTTAGTCAGGGCCGTGACGGCATTGCATTCTTGCAGTCCTTCCGCGCCATGAGACGCGGGTATGCCAATGGGACTTTCCGATATGCTGTGATTTCTTTCGAGAAGCCGAGCGGGAAAGCATAGGAAAGACGTCAAAATTGGAAGTTGACACGGGTGTAGCGTAGCTGATGGCTTGGTGAAGAATGATGGGAATCAAACCAGTAGGCTTTTTGCATGATGCGGTAAGAGCTAGTACACGTTCACTTCGTCAATTCTGAAGAGGAACATATCAGCATGGTTCATCAACGTCGACAACATATGGTCCAGGGAAGACTCTTGATGACAATGGTATTGCTAGCTGCATGGGTAACTCAATCGATCCTCAGCCGTAACTCATCGAAAGTACATATCTACATTACAATGTCTTTGATAAAATCCTTGTCTTCCAGAATATGAAATTCGAGCTCGAGCTGATCAGATAACCACCCAAGTTGACGCGGAGGAAGCCTGTCCTCTTACCAACAGTCGAGGCCTAGCAGCATCTCAACCTTACAGCTCATGGAGCCACAAATTCGTCAATATTAACTCTCTCAAAGAAGCTGATATGTCCAAATCCGACCCAGTACTGAGCAAGTCGGTCGTGGGAAACCAGCATAAGTTGAGACTCGATATACTTGTCTAGAGAAGAATAGTAAGCGCACGTTCGAATCTTATCTTTGGGCAAGGTCACACACCATCTAAGAAGCCCGTTCCAGCGACATGGCCTTTACTCCTGACAACTCGTGTACCCTGAAACGGTGGCTCTTGAGCGACTCCAACGAATCCAGCCTCGCCCAAATCGTCCGCAACGAAAGTGTACTCCCCTCGCGGAACATTCGGATCGCCAGTGAGTTTGATTGCTTCAAGACGACCTCGGTAGACTCTTGCGTCGATACGGCGCTTCGTCCACTCCGACTCTGATTCGTCAGAGCCACGGACAAGACCGAGTTCCTCATCCGACACTTCTTCGTCATCGGGCTGGTTGATCAACAGGAATTCGCACCCATGCCCACTGTAATCTCCAACCCAGACACCTCGCCATGGCTTGAGCTCCGTTGGTGTGTAGACAACAGGATCGAGGGTTGAATACGTAATTACTTCTTCGCCAATGCGCACGCCGGTAACACCAGGAGTACCCATTCCCATGTTGGCTTGAATGGCTTGGATGATGCCCACAGGCCCAGGCCCAAGGAAAAGTCCCGGTGTCGGGGACCCAGCCATCTCCATCCATTGCCGAATCCGGAAGGCCTGGTCCGAGGCTTCAGCTCTTCTCGTCGGTTGGTCGCCAGGGGCAAGGTCATCGCCGTCCAAACCAGAGATCACACCGGACACTCTGTGACGGGCAGGAATGGCCGGTGGAGGCCAGACATTTCCATAAGGAAACACACCGTCCATTCTTGATGTAGCCGTTGCAGCGTCCAGAGGGCGAGCCATCATAAAGTTACAAAACATGGCGTCCATCGGGTCGTGAATTGACATCGGTACCTCGGGCAGAAATCGTCGACCCAAACTGCCCAATAGTCCCTCGTCTTCGGCTGGGCGGCGAGCATGGAATTGAAGTACCGGCTTGTCCAGATGGAGTTTGACCTGAGGTTCGAAGGCGTGTATAATCACACTGTGGTCGGCGGGCCAGTGCTGATACGTAGTCCGATTGCTGACAGCCAACAACTGATATCCTTCAATACAACCCCTCCGCTGGTCGTATCTGATGATCATCATCTTGCCCATAAGGTCGCGATCGCAGAACCAAATCTTGTACTTTGGTAGAAACCATCTTGGGTCGTGTGCGGCGTAGAGTTCGCGGTATGTGCGGCATGGATAAGGAGTCGTAACCTTCTCTCCAGGCACATTGGCTTGCACCCTTTGGTACCAGTGGATATCGGACGCAGCATGGGCGTGAAGGGTTCGGCAGGTCTCCGCTACGATCGCCAGGTTGCAGGGAGGCAAGTAGGCCAAGATCGCATCGATGAGTTCGGAAGGAAGCGCGAGCAGGCGGCAATTGTTGTCTGAGGGCAGAGAAGGCAAAGCTAGCACAGTAAAGACGGGTCAGTCGGGTTTTCCAGAGATCAAACAAGTATGGAGGACATACTACCGGAGGCGGCAATGTTGAAGTCAGACGGAAGGGGATAATAGTCGTCCCTAGAGCTTCCAATCGTTTTACGGTGATCTGTGGCATCGCTGCGTAGTCCCTCTTCAGATACGTAGGGTAATATGTAGAGATTTTCCTCAACTTCGGGGTCGATGCCGCCGTAATTGCTACCGCTGGCGGTTGACATGGTGTCGTGAGTTGGCGCATCCGAATCCGCGGCGGAGGTGGAGGGCGAGGGGGGACTCGTAGCCATTTCGCAAGTCGTATCCATGCCTCTTCAGAGGAAAGAAGTGCAACGTTGAACACCGTTCCGAGGGCTCCTGGCTGTGAAAGGGGGACGAACTGTTCTTGTGGTGGCTTGTTGGGCGATCCAATACTCTGTCACGAAGGTTTGGCGAGTGGCTGCATGCAAGTATGCAGCGGCAGGGGTAATTGTTCGGGCTAGAAAGCAATGTTGCGGACGAGAACGCTTCGGGGTGATGTAATATTGGCGCTGCTTGCAGCATGTGTCAAAATGTGTCGATGTCTCAACGATTCCAGCAGGAGTTCAAGGTATCACGGAGGTTCGGGTCGCCCAAGGGTGGTGCATATAGGAGTCGTCAGTGCTCGCAATGTTGGGGTCATGACTCCAGGTTTGGTCTCCACGTCTCCGACCAGCCGGGGTGAGGGTGTGTCGGGTGCGTGCGTGTATGCAACAATAGCATGAACTTTTTGGTTGCGGTCGCGGACGGGCCAGAAGTTCCTCTTTGCGACCCCCGGTTACGGCGCATAGCTAATCCACCCCAGGCTCAAGCCGGGGATGATGGAAAGCAGCGATGACAGTACGGTCGACAGCAGTAGCGGTGGTAGGTATGTAGCAGCGGCAACAACAGCCGAGGCGGGGCAGAGAGTTTGGCGTAGTGGGTGTAGGGATGGATACTTGGTAGTGTCAATAGAGCTGGCTAGCGGTTTAGATGCTTGGAACCACCAACCATGAGCAGTCGCGTGCCGGAGAGGATGGATAGATGGATCTAGATTCCGCAGGTGTATGCGACAGCATGCGGCTGGATGTGCCGAGACAGATGATGGATGTCGAGGACTCGAGAGGACGTTGCGGTAAGGTTGGTCGGGACCAGGTTCAGATTCCAGTTCCAGGTCAGGGTCGGTGGTGCAGGCGGATATAGGACCGAAACAGACAAAAGGGCCTTGGTTCGAGCAAGGTATGCCGCCATCGCCGTCCCTGGGCCATAGGACTAATGCAGCGCCAATCGGTGACTGGAGCCTGGACGGGGGGAAAACTTGAAGGATGAGTGGAATGTTGTGCCCGGAAAAGGAAGGGGGTTCGTCCGTTGCCAACGACGTTGATGTGTCTAAGGTACTGGTAAGTTTGTTTTCCAGGTAGGATGACTATCCATTAGTGCCATTGTGGTTTAACCGTCGAGGTGGAAGTCCAAGAATAGATGCGGATATTACTGTGCCTGCCACGCCGGTGGTGCATGCGTGTTGCTGCAGCATCTCGGCCAGCTAGCTAGCGCAGGCAAGCTTGCTCTGCTCTTGCATCTCGTCTCATGAGGTGCTCGAGTGAGGTAAGGTAGGGATATGTCGGTGACCGTGTGAGGATTATTGCAGCAGTGCAGCTAGGTAGGTAGCCCAGCATGCTGTGCCGCAAAGGGGAGCCAAGGCTCAAGCATGGCCATCGAGTCGCGTCCTGATCCTTGTGCGTTGGAAAGGTGAAGTGCAGTGGGCTGTGGTGCACTGTCAAGGGTCAGGCACCTCAGGTACCGAGAACCGGAACCGGAATGGAAGCGGATTGCGGGGACGAAGGAGCTGTTTGCTGACTAAGGTTCAAGTACCTACCTTGTGCCTAGGTACCTTACCTTAGGTATTTGGGATGAGGTCAGTGACTTTAGGGTCTGTCGCTTATCGGGTGACAGGAGACAAGATAAGACACCTCCCGTCACCTTCCATCCGGCTTCCATCCATGAGAGCCCGGATCAATAACGCCATCGCCTTTCTACCCAACCAGCGACGATTCCACCTTACCTATGATTCCAGAGTACCTACCTTGATGTCGGACCAAGATAAGCAAGCACCTTGACTTTGGGCCCTAAGCGAGGCTGGTCATGGCATGAATCAGGGCCACCTAACTCAGGAGTATCTGTCATGTTTGCGTGTCCACCTCGCTCAACTACCTTGATACCTGCGCCAACTACCAGCTACATAAAGTACGGCTACACTCATCCCTTCGGCTGTCCGGCGCATTGCAGGAGATCGTCGCTGTTTGTTCCGACCATTCATGAGCCTAGAACTCAAATTGGCTTCAACCCACCTTTACCTAGAGGAAATTGCTATACCCAAAGACTGCAACAGATGATTACTAGGTCTGGAGCAGAGAGAGAGAACCCCCCCCCCCCCCCAGTTCTGCGCGCATCTTTTGCGGCTTGTCCAACGGCCAAGGCATCATCACATTGGCCAAGCCAAGAGCGTGCCATGCTCTCTCCAACTTGCTCTCACATTATCCGTACATCTCGCCGCAAAAGGGCCTGAACAATCTGACCTATAATAACTGGCCTATCTGGTCTCGATTGAATCCACATTGCTTCAAAAAGTCCCAGCCAAGGCTTGTCGGACAGGAACCTTTGCGGCGAGCCAGCAATGTGCTTTCATTGGCTGTGTCGTAAATCTAGTTGATGGGAGTAAGGTATTCCAGGCTTCAATTGCACGTCTTCCAAATGATCTCTTTCCCTCTTTCTTCGTGTTTCTACTTTAGGGTGGTGCCTACCTTATAGATATATGTAGTTAGATGACATAGTCTCCAAAACAGTTCTACTAGCCCTCCTACCCAATTAGGTAGGTAAGTGGTCTCTCGTCCCCTCCTTCCTCTTCCTCCATTTCTCGCTCATTGCAGGGACCACCAACTCCATCAACCTGAGGACTCGGGAGACATTAACCCTTGATTTACCACCAACAACACAACCACAGCTACCCGTCACCACGAATTCACCAGACTTTCGGTTCCATCGCTGGATCTCGCTTCGATTAACCGCATTTTTAACCAATACGGATGTTACAATTTTCGCAAAACAAGATTCAACTTAATTTCAACGAACCACAACATACGACCACGGCAGAATAGGTAGCCGCATCAACCTATGCGCCTATACCATATCCTCAGAACGTTGTTGATACTACCTCACCTTTCGCCTTGCTATACGGAAATATCCAGACGTTGCGCCGTACATACTTGCTCAATCCACTGCCGGAGCTCCCCCTAGTTCCCACCTCACCTAGTGATCCGTCCGACGTCTCCTTCCTACTTGGTAATAGCTTCCGCCCGCCAGTGGAAGGTTGTCTTCACCATCACCCAATATCCTACAACACTACGGATACTCGACTCAGATCTCGCTCCTCACCAAGCGGAACACCCAACTACGGTCATCTAGCCTTCATTCCCCTCTCCGCGGGCGGACCAGCCGAGACCGGCACAGATCACAACGGAGCACGCCAGCAGACCAAGGAACCGCCGGGATATTGGAAACCCGCTCTCTCGCGCGCGCGCCCCTTGCTCAGGCTTGCTGCCTCGCAGGACAGCCGACAGACACACCATGGCGTCCCTGATCCCACTCATCAACGACCTGATACCCATGATTGTTTCCTCCTCGGTATCCGTCACCAAAGCGACCACCCTCCGCCCTTCCGATGCAACTCTGAATCCCGCTTCTGCCAACGAGGCCGATGCCGTTGTCAGCAAAAGCGATAAGCTCTGCGCCTCTGGTAAGTCCAACTTGGTCTAGGATGCCGTTTCCCCTGCCAGTACGAGCACCAGGATTCCTCTCTCTTTCTCTGTATTCGTGCGTGATCTGCTCTGGCATCACGCAGCGCCTTTCCCGCCGCTTTTCCCAGCTGCCGCGACCTGCCCGGACCGCCAACATGCCCGCCATAAGGCAGCGTCGCAACCGTAAACTGTGTTGCTGGTCATAGAGTAACAAGGCTCAAGTCGTGCTTGTCATGATCCCATTAACCCTGTCCTATCGCATGGTCTTATGTCTCGTTTACTGCCACGTCTTCTTCAACTAACTCGGGTAGTCATTACTTTGAACCCACATGCGACATCGGCTATCCGCCATCACGGCGAGCAAGGTCAGGATTAATCTTTTCCCCCCTTCCCAACCCACCATCTCTTTCTTCGGTTTTTGCGACTTATCGTCGCTCTCTTGGCGGTGTATCTCTAATGCTTGCCAAGATACCATTCTCTACATGGCTTCCGGGACCGGCATCTTGCTAGTTAGTCCCGGTGCAGGGCAAGATGTAAAGCGGCACGAGCTGTCCTCGGGTGACTTTGCCTTCATTCCGTCCTGGACAGAGCACCAACTACTCAACGAGTCGGATCAAGATACCGTGTGGGTCTTTACTCGCAGCGGTTCTCAGCCGGTCACGGTAGGCTTGACGGATTGGGGAGGTGACCAGGCGAAGTAACCCATATGCCATCGCTCGGTCGTGGAGACGGACTCCAACTCTTGGTGACTGGCCACATGGTCGATGTGTGGCAGCAGCAGCAGCAGCAGCAGCAGCAGCAGCAGAAGCATCACATCACATCAGGCACCACTCGAAAAGATTAACTTCGAAGGGCACGTGTGAAGTGTGGCTTTCCCTGTGGGATCCCGCCAATGTCATGATATCTATCGAGTATCTCTATCTTGCTTCATCATCGCCCCATATGGCGCCCACGATTCGCGCTATAGCCCTAGGAGAATCAAAGACCTGCGCGTGGTCCTTGTCCGGAAACCAAAGGATGTCGATGCCTGACCCAGCGGAACGGTGACTCTCGTAACCCATGCCCGATATGGGTCCAGCCTTTGGTCCGGCAACGTTGCGCCGGCCATGCTCGCCTTGCAACCATGCGGGGTGTCCCGCCTGCTGTGCCTGACCCCCCTCGGCCAAATACCTGGCGACGGCGTGGCTGTCGACAATCAGGTCCAGCCCGGACAGGCATACGGTGACCTGCCTCGCTTCATGCCGCTCGACACCCGCCGATTCCGATCCTGCTGTGCGACCAACCAGTTCATCAGCCCAGATGGCGTTCTCCCTCCAAAAGAAGTATCTGCCGAGGCAGTGGGCTACTCCGGGATCCATGCTCGCAAAATACCACAGCTGCCACTCGTTTGCAGTCGACGGCGCACGTCGTGTGAAGTTGTAAGCGACGTCGGGCAGGTGCAGGAGGATGCTCACGGGGTCAATGAGCACGGCCCGCGGGATCCTGGCCTGCAGGTCTGGGCATCGCATGGCATGGGTTGACAAGATGGAACCGTACGAATGGGAGACGAGGGTGAACTTTTCCCAGGCGTGGTGGTTTACTATCTGCTTGAACTGCTGAAGGAAGACCTCTTTGCCTAGCGGCGGGTCAGTCAGTCGGAAGCAGACGGGCAGGATTTCGATGGCGATGACGCCTGTCTGACCGCGGCCTCTGATCCTCATGGTGGCGATCTCGGCGAGAAAGCGGACGTAGGGCCACAGCCCGATGCCGATGCCGTGGAGGAAGACGACGGGTAGACCTTCTGCGCGGTGAGGGCGGTGCCAGTAGCTCAGATTGCCGGCCGAGGACCGCTGACTGGCAAAGACCTGTTGGAGACGAGGTGGGAAGATGGCCTTGTCTCTTGGCTGCGCATAGTATTGGAATCCGTAGAACCACAACGAGAGGTGTGTGACATGATCCAAAAAGGCCATAATGGCGTACCACCAGACGGTGCGGTACTTTGTATCTACGGAATCGATCGTCAGGCGCAGGCACTTGGCCGGCCCGCGACCGGGCTTAAACGGCCTGCCGAGCAGACGTTCACTGCGGGTTATATACTGGTCCACCTCCACGTCGTAGTTCTCCCCGTCCCTGGCACTGGCCCGCTCGACGTCCTTTTCGCCCATGTCAAAGAACGCCCAGAGGAGAAAGTCGCGGACGTTGTCGCGGTGGATGTCGGCCATGTCGGCGCCCAGGAACCACATGCGAACGTAGCGTTCAAAGTCTGGGATGGTGGCCATGCATCGCTCAAAGAGGGCCAGGCGGCCGGCGGGCGAGGAGGGGCTCGGGTGCGAGGCGGGTTCTCTGAGGCGCCTTGTGTAGGGGAGCCAGATGAAGAGGGCGTAGATGAGCTCCGTGGCTGCCATGCACGTTGTGACGGCGGCTGTTGTGAGCCATTTTGAGGGAGAGGTTGTGTAGTTTGCGCCGAGTAGGCTTGCGAAGAGGAGGGCTGCGTAGGGGATAATTGGGTAGCGGAGGGGTATTATGCAAGCGCGGATGAAGATGTACTCGTGAAGCGTGCGGCCGAGCATCCTGGGGATGGTGTTGGTGTTGTGAGGTTTAATGCTGGCTGGTGATGGTGGTGGTGGTGGCGGTGGTGGTGGTGGTGATGATGGGCATAAATGAGAGGCTGCTGGCGACTGACTGCTCGTTGCTGTGCGTGAAAGAATGATGATGTACCGTTTCTTATTTATCAAAAGTCAAACAAATAGAGAACACGAATGATGGCCGCCCGATGTGTAGATGTAAACGGAGCATTTCCTTCCTCGGTCCCCTGGGCTTCGAAAGCGAACAAGACAAGTCCTCTGAGAAATCCTTCTTCGCGTGATGTTTAGATTTCGTTGGGGATCGTCCCAGTCACGCGGCACAAGAAAAGGTGAACTATGTAGACGACACGGCGAGCTAAGGCAGGGGGTGGAGGGACGGAGCGGGTGGTGGATTGGATGACGAAACAAATCGCAAACCTGTCGTCGTTTTCAGGGTCCCCCTGTATTTTTCTCCGAGTCTGCCTTCAAGACGCTTCTCTTTTCGTCCGAAATATCTGTAGACAAGTACTATATGGATGGATGGCTGAGGAATTATTTGCATCTGAAAGTCGCCCCCGGTATCCGTACCGTATAAGTTAACCTACTGTGTATAAGTGTTGGGGGATTTGATGGTAACCCCTGGGGAAATCAGAGCGCTGATTGGTTCATCCGAGGTCAAGCTTCAATCAAGGACGTCCCAATGCCGTTGAATCGACTCATCTTCTCAACGTGACTGTGACGTTTGTATGAATTGACAGGCGCAGACAGGGCTGCGCGGATTGTCGCGCGTCGAATCGCCTTGCCGAGGTTTCTTCTGCCCCTCCGTCACCGTTGATTGACGTACATTGCAAAGAGCCTCATATTCACATGCTCCAAGGCAATGTCACACCCATGATTGCTTTTTGCAACTTGTGTTCCTGCGCACATGCAAACTATTCATTTCTGCTATGCAGGTCTCGAATTCATGACCCAGCCAAATGAGAATCTGTCCGATGTTCCGCCCCTCAACAATAATTTCTCTCCGAATGCCCTTTGCGCTCTTCACTCCAATGCAATCCACGACTGCCCCGACGCCGATCTTCTTCATCAAGTCAGCGTCGGCGCCGACCACGTAGCATAATCCTTCACGTTGACATTCACAGTGCTGCGCTCGAGAATGGACGGCTTGGTCGCAGAGTTGAGCAGGAAGTAGTTAATATACTGCGTCAACTCGGCATTCTGCCCGCTCGGGAACGAGCAGTGGTTATGCCCGCCGACCAACGAGAACCCCATATTCTCCGGCACCCCGAGGGCCTGGTAAATGAGCCTCCCGGCCTTCATGCAGCCCGTCGTCGACACGGGGCCGAGCCAGTCGATATCGTTCTCCGCCACGTAGAGCCCGCGCGGCGCAACGAGCCCGGCCAGCAGGTGATGGTCCTCGGGCACCTGCGACGACCTCGTCGCCCACGTGTTGAAGAGGGGCGAGAACCAGACGTTCTCCCCGACGATCTGGCTCGACGTCTGGATGTTTTTTCCCTTGTTCTTTTCGCTGTCCGAGATGCGCCAGCACGCCGCGCCGCCCGAGCCCGACTCCTGCGGGATGGTCAGGGCGATGCGCTTCTCCAGCGCGCCGACGACGAAGGCTCCCTTGCCGTTGCGCGAGCAGCCCGTCACGCCTAGCCTCTTTGTGTCGATGCCGGTTTGCGCGGAACCGAGCTGCTCCAGGCCGTCGATGAGACGGCCTACGCCCCACGCCCACGCCGTCAGGGCGCCCGCGCTGTGCTGTTGCCCGAAGAGGGTGTAGAAGAGACCCTGGCCTCTGCTGCTTTGACCGTTCTGGGCGGCGAAGGCGTCGTTGCCAAAGGTGATTTGCGCGACGGTGCCGGGAATGGGGATGCTTGCGCCGCCGACGCCGATGATGGCGGGGAAGGGACCCGTGCCGGAGGGCTTCGTGACGGAGGCGGTCATGCTGATGCTCTTTGTGCCGACGGTGACTTTGACGGTGAGGGTGTTGCCCGAGAACGAGGCCTCGACCTTGTCCGGAGACGGGGGGAAGTCTCCGAGCTCGTACTGCTCCATTGCGTTTTGGATCTCGGTGGCGCGGCAGGCCCAGTCGGCTTTTGTCGTGACTTTGGAGCCGTCGGCAAAAGTAAAGGGGTCTGGTAGCTTTGCGTCGTTGACGGCTGGGATGTTTGTCTTTGCTTTGCCGCAGTCGGCTTGCCGGGCGGACAGTGTGTCGGCGGGCATGGCCAGGGCTGTGCCGGCGAGAAGGAAGAGCGTGGCGCGTAGAGCCATGATGGGATATGGAGAGAGATGATCTTAATTGCGGAGGGGGCTCGTGGTACTGCGGATGAGGCGAGCTTCAGAAAGAATGAGATTACTTGTTCCTTGAGATGATGTCTTCTTATGCCCATCATGATTCGGATCAACGGATGTCTCTTAGTAAAGAACGAGGATCTGGAATGGCTTTCATTTAGTGGACATCATTTGGATAATGGCGGGTGTTTCCAAAGAGCCTCGTATTAGCCGGCAATGCGAGCTCACGGGACTGCTGGAATCAACCCCAAGCGAGCCATGCGGCGCTTCGTTAAGCTTACTCAACTGCCGTCAACTTCCCCGCCGGCTACTGTCTAGCAGGTCAATTAATATGCCTAAGACAGCCGAAAACATGGCCCAAATTGGGTTACGAGCCTACTCTGGGCTCTTTCCTTCCAGTGCGACCCAAAGGAGACCAGTAAAAGTCAGGCCAAGCAATGATCTGCACCGGCTGAATAGGAATAGTACGGGCAACAAGCGGAACGAGTCCAGCTTTGCAAGTTGATGCTACCCATTCCGACAACAGAGTTTGTGGGGTGTTGTAATGGCGGGCTGGATTCCGAAGGAGGATAAAGTCCAAGAAGAGAAGTCATCGCGAAGTCAGGAAAAAGAGCGGCGGCCGTGGCCGAGACGGATTGCACCGGGCCACCGGGGATGCGAAGTCTCGGACCCGACAGGCGGCCGGCCCTGGTGGGGCACTCTTTTTCTTCCCACCAACAGCCGCCGCCTGATTGGCTGAACATTTTCCAGAGCCCATCTGCCTCCGTCGCCCGGCTGATTCTCGATCTCTTACGTCTTTCAACCTCTCTCAATTCTCAGCCCACCTTCTTTGGCTTTCCGCGCAAACCGACACTCCCAGTCTCGGTCCACGAGCCCGCACCAATCCCTACCGATACCACGTAGCGGAGCAATTCCTCCCCCTGCCTGCGAATCGCACGTCCCCCGAACACGCCTCGTCCCTCCTCCGAATGGTCCGCGTTTGAGAGAGAGCAGTCCCGCGAAACATCCCGCCGCGCCGCCGACCGGCTCCTTCCTCTGCCAGGCCGACATGAGCGCAGAGCAGAGCAATAACAATGCGGCCAGCTCCCACCTCGCTCTTTCGCCCTCACCGACTCGATAATGTCTGTCGCCAATGCGTTCGAAAAGCCTTTGGCGCCACTGTCCCGCGGGGCGGCGGCGGCAGCAGCAGCAGCAGCAGCAGGAGTAGCATTGTCTCTCTGCCATTGATCACGAGCCGGTCCGCCTCGACGACGGCCGCAAAGGCAGCACCCGCAGTGCGTCTCAGCACGAGCTATTTCCTCTCCAACAGCGTCCTCGACCGCTCCAATGCCCGGCCCAGACCCCTTGGCAGCAGGAGTTCCTCAGCTTCCGTGGCGCCCTCATCTTCGTCTTCCTCCTCCACCGCGCGTTCCGAGTCGACGACACCAATCGATGTAAACCAAGATCTACCGCATCGTCGCCGCCAGGCCGCAAGGCGCAAAGCCGCCGCCGAAGCCGCCGCCGCAGCCTCCTCCTCGCCCGATGTTCTCCCTTCTCAGGATGCCTCCTCCGCCCTCACCAGCGTCGCCGCCCAACAACCCGCGCACTCGGCCCGCCGCATCTTCTCCACCCTCCTCTCCCTCTCGAAGCCCCGGCTCTCCGCCCTCGTCGTTCTGACCGCGATGGCGCCATACGCCCTATACCCCGTCACCGACTTCCTCTCCCCGGCCATCACCGAGTCGCCCTCCCTGAGCCCGCTGACGCTCCTTTTCCTCACCACCGGCACCGCCCTCTGCTCCGCCTCGGCAAATTCTCTCAACATGCTCTACGAGCCCAAGACGGACGCAAAGATGTCGCGCACGCGAAACCGGCCCCTCGTAAGGAACCTCCTCTCCACGCGCGCCGCCGTCCTCTTCGCCGTCACCACCGCCGTCACGGGCGTCGGCGCCCTCTACTTTGGCGTCAATCCGACCGTCGCCTTCCTCGGCGGCGCCAACATCGTCATCTACGCGGGCATGTACACGCCCATGAAGGCCTTCAGCGCCGCAAACACCTGGCTCGGCGCCGTTGTCGGCGGCATCCCCCCGCTCATGGGCTGGGCCGCCGCCGCGGGCGAGACGGCCTCGGGCGACGGGTCCTGGCGGGAATTGCTTTTCGCCAGCGACGGTAGCTCCATTGGGGGCTGGCTCATGGCGAGCTTGCTCTTCGCGTGGCAGTTCCCCCACTTCATGGCGCTCTCGTGGTCCATCCGGGAGGAATACAAAGCTGCGGGGCTGAGGATGCTGGCCTGGACGAACTCGGCGCGCAACGCGCGCGTCGCGCTGCGGTACAGCATCGCCTTTATCCCCATCTGCGTCGGGCTCTGCGCGGCGGGCGTGACGGAGTGGAGTTTTGCCGTGACGAGCTTGCCCGTCAACGCGTGGCTCACGCGCGAGGCGGTGCGGTTCTGGAAGTTTGAGGGCCACAAGGGGTCGGCGCGGGGTCTGTTCTGGGCGAGCGTGTGGCATTTGCCTGTCGTCATGGTGCTGGCGCTGCTGCAGAAGAAGGGCATGTGGAGCCGGGTGTGGAATAGCGTCGTTGGCGTGGATGACGATGATGAGTGGGAGGATGACGATGAGCTGGATGAGATGCCGGTTACGTTGCCTACGCCGCGGGGATAGGTGATGCTGGCGGCGTATGTTGTAGTAAGAACTCGGGATATTGTATGATAGTGTTGCTCGTTTGCCTCGTGGGGGGAACCAGGAGGGAACCATCAATACCCATAGTGGTGCTCCGGTCTTAGACTTTCTGGGTTCAAAGACATAAAGACCTCGCTCTGTTAATCCAGTGTATGCTCATACGGGAAGACAAGACAAGCGCGGGTGTATTTCAAAAAATAATGATTCCCTTTGTTTTTCAAGTTCAAAAAAGCATTCCATTGGCAGTTCCATAGGTCCCTCTCCCTCCTTTTTTGTCTCAACCTAGTCTCTCTCTCCTCTGGTATCTCTATAGATGCTAGTATACAGAAGAAAAAAAAGTAGCACGATACCACCCCTCCTTCCCAGGTACTGTTCTGATCATTTGTTCGTCATTATACGGAAGCAGAAAGATGGCTCCCCTTTGTGCTGTTCATCCATCCCGCAAAAAGGTAAGATAGCTCGTAAAAGAGTGCCCAAGTTTCTTACCAATGTCGAAAACGCGAAAGCCCATCTTTGGGTGAATTTGAATAATACCCATGCAACACCAGAAAACGCCTCCAGAAAACCCTTGCAAGACAACGCCATGACCTATAAGGAAATTGAAAGAAGGAAAAGTGAAGAAACCTCGAATCCTAGGAGTCAAGGGCTTAGGACCACTGAAGGGACTCGTCATTGGAACCATGCAGTCACATCTGCTGCTGCTGCTGCTGCTGCTGCTGCTGGCCACCGGGCCGGTTGATGATGGCGTCGATGCCCATATCCACGCTCGGCAACCGCTGCCCGTGGGGGTGGAGGTAAGGGCTGGGAGACTGAGACTGGCCGTGGCCGCCGTATCCGCCGTTGACGGAGCCGTTCGAGGAGACGGAGCTGGTGTACCCGTGGTGGGCGCCGGCGGCGTGGTGGCCGTAGCCGCCGTACTGGGCGGCGTGCATGGGCTGGAGGTGGTGCAGGGAGGCCATGTAGCCCGCGGCCGAGGCGCTGCTGCCGCTGGCGGAGTGTCCGGAGGAGACGGTCTCCGGGCTACTGTAGGAGGCGTCTAGCTCGTCAACTGGGGTTAACCCGAGGCCGCTGATGCCGCTGTCATCGTCATACCCTGGTGGTAGTGGCTGCCCTGACTCCAGGCGCTCCCGTCTGGCCCCGGCGCGGGCTGCGCTTTGTAGGTTCTTGAGACCATTTGACATGCACTAGAACAAGAAAGAAGCGAGGGTTAGCCAGGTGTTTGTCTATATCATCGTTGATGTCATGTTGCTGTAGGGTCTGTCTTACCTTGGCCTCGACGACGTTCCACTTCTCTCCAGTGCGAGCAGCGAGACCGGACCAGATCTCCTTTCTCATGCTCATGTACTCCTTGGCAAGACGTTCAAGCTTGCGGTTGTCCCAGTCATCGGCACCCTTGCGCTCCATCAGGCGCTCGTGGCGCTTTCTGCAGGCGTTGGGAGTCTTGTTGGGGAAGTAGGTCGTCTGGATCTGGCCCCAGTTTAGGCCCTGGGAGCGGGCCGCGAGCAGCTGCTGATCATCCTGCGGGGTCCAGGCTCCCGAAGAGGCGCGGTGTTGCATCGGGGGCACGGAGACCGGGGGCGCAGACACCGGGGCGTAGCTTTCGTACGTTGGCTGCGGCTGTTGCTGCATGGGGGCCGAGGAGGAGGGCAAGGTGTAGTAGGCCGACTGCGGCATGGCCATGCGTTGGTTGTACATTGCGATTGGGTTTGCCGCGGGAGCGAGAGAAATTGGCATCGGGTTTGCGTAACGGTTGTGGTTGTGGCTCGAACTGGATGCCCGCGTATGTTTGGGCATGATAACTCGGGAAAGTAGATATCGAAAAGAGAGCGGATACCCTGGAGAGAGAGCGAGAGAGTATTGTCCGGTATATGGTGAAGGCGTGCAGATTACTGATTATCCTGCAAGAAGAGAAGCGAGTGTCCCGTTATGATGTTGTTGTTGTTGTTGTTGTTGTTGTTGTTGTTGTTGTTGTTGATGATGATGATTCTGCGCCTCGCCTGGAGGTGGTTTATGGAAAAGGTCGGTATTGGTTATAGGGCGGCAGAATGGAGCGAAAGGAGATTGACGGACTGAAGAGGAATCTAGAAAATCCGACTTAGGAAATATGATGACTATGACGAGGAAAAAAAGGAAATAGGAGATAGAGAGGAAAAAAGGAAACTGTTGTGAGATGGAGAGAACTGTCTTGACAAGCGAATACAAGGTCAAAAGGAGGTCGAGAAGCCGGACCTTAGGCCTGACTTTAAACAATATCACGGTCGGCCAGGGAGACAAAGAGACACAGAAGCGCGGTTACGATGAGGCCAGGGTTATGGAAGTCTG